AACAATTTAAAAACGGTTACTAAAAGGTGGTAGAGACACAAATAGAATAAACACAAGACTTCTCTTTATTTTCTGTATTTGTTTTGTGTACACTTTAATACACCTTGTTTTGTATATCTGACTTTCCAACCATGTAAGTGTTTTACATAATTATAGGACAAAATTAAATTGGATCAAATGTTAAAACAAAAGCTATACCTAAAAACCAGAAGCAGGCTGCTCTGCCTATGGAGTAGCCATTCTTTTATTCCTTTACTTTCTTTTTTTTTTTTTTTTTTTTTTTTTGAGACGGAGTCTTGCTCTGTCGCCCAGGCTGGAGTGCAGTGGCCGGATCTCAGCTCACTGCAAGCTCCGCCTCCCGGGTTCGGGCCATTCTCCTGTCTCAGCCTCCTGAGTAGCTGGGACTACAGGCGCCCGCCACCTCGCCCGGCTAGTTTTTTGTATTTTTTAGTAGAGACTGGGTTTCACCGTGTTGGCCAGGATGGTCTCGATCTCCTGACCTAGTGATCCGCCCGTCTCGGCCTCCCAAAGTGCTGGGATTACAGGCTTGAGCCACCGCGCCCGGCCTTCCTTTACTTTCTTAATAAACTTGCTTTCAAAAAAAAAAAAAAAAAAAAAAAAAAAAAAAAAAAAAAACCAGAAGCAAAATAAAACAAATGAAACTAATCATGTATCAAGTTTTCAGCTTAACCACATGGAAATTAGTTATAGTTACTTTAAAGCTCAATAATTGGACTGGGCCGGGCGCGGTGGCTCAAGCCTGTAATCCCAGCACTTTGGGAGGCCGAGACGGGTGGATCACGAGGTCGGGAGATCGAGACCATCCTGGCTAACACGGTGAAACCCAGTCTCTACTAAAAAGTACAAAAAACTAGCCGGGCGAGGTGGCGGGCGCCTGTAGTCCCAGCTACTCGGGAGGCTGAGGCAGGAGAATGGCGTGAACCCGGGAGGCGGAGCTTGCAGTGAGCTGAGATTGGGCCACTGCACTCCAGCCTGGGCGACAGAGTGAGACTCCGTCTCAAAAAAAAAAAAATAATAATAATTGGACTGTACTTCTCTAGAGGGATATATCCTAGCAGCAAATAGATCTATAAAGAAATGTTAAAATTATTTACTGTAGGAATATTGTAAGGACTAATAATGTTGCTCTGAAATTGTCTTATTTATACATACATATATAGATATACAGATGGATCATTGAGCAAATAAAAGCTACAAAAATAAAACCAAAGTTAAAACTCTATAATTTAATTTTTTTTTTTTTTTTGAGATGGAGTCTCGCTCTGTTGCCCAGGCTGGAGTACAATGGCGCAATCTCAGCTCACTGCAAGCTCCACCTCCTGGGTTCACACCATTCTCCTGCGTCAACCTCCCAAGTAGCTGGGACTACTGGCGCCTGCCACCACGCCCGGCTAATTTTTTGTATTTTTTTTTTAGTAGAGACGGGGTTTCACCGTGTTTGCCAGGATGGTCTTGATCTCCTGACCTCGTGATCCACCCGCCTTGGACTTCCAAAGTGGTGGGATTACAGGCGTGAGCCACCGCACCTGGCTAAAATTTTTAACATTGGAAACAGCAGTATGAACTCATGATGCTCATTTTGTTAAGAATATATTTCCTGTTATAATAGGAATGAACCTTGAAAACATGCTAAGTGAAAGAAGTCAGTCAAAAAAGGTCACATAATATATTATTTCATTTATATGAAATGTGTGGAATAGGCAAATTTATAGAGACAGAAAGATCAGTAGTTGATTAGGTTGGGCAGGACCTAGGGGATGCGTACCATCAATCCCATATGAATACCATGTTTCCTTTAGTGATGAAATGCTCTAAAATTCCATTGTGGTGGTAGTTTCATAACCCCATGAAAAAATATATATACAATTATATATATTATTATTATTAATATTATTATTATTTTGAGACGGAGTCTCACTCTGTCGCCCAGGCTGGAGTGCAGTGGTGTGATCTCGGCTCACTGCAACCTCTGCCTCCCGAGTTCAAGTGATTCTCTTGCCTCAGCCTCCTGAGTAGCTGGGATTACGGGTGCGCACCACCACGCCAGACTAATTTTTGTATTTTTAGTAGAATTGGGGTTTCACCATGTTGGTCAGGCTATTCTCGAACTCCTGACCTTGTGACCCGCCCGCCTTGGCCTCCCAAAGTGTTGGGATTACAGGCGTGAGCCACTGCACCTGGCTGAATATATATTTTTAAAAATATTAAACTGTATATTTTAAAAGGGTAAAATGTATTGTTATGAATTATATCTTAATCAAGTTGTTAAAATATATACATATATATCCTAGCTCTGTCCACACACACAAAAACCCTCTAACAACAATAACCATTCCAACAGCAACAAGCACTATAACTGTGGTCTCAAAATACCATTTCCTACTTAAAGCAATCAGGGCACCATACAGAAAATATTGATTTCATGCATAGGGCAGAAAATGTTCAAAATGATCTGGGGATGTCCTATCATATCAGAAACGTAGGACACCATCAAACACTACTGGGGATGTGTTAAAAGGATTCAGAAGCTATCCTGAAACAGTAGCCAAAGATGAGAACATTTAAGCTTGGAAAAGAAAATAAGTGCAGTAATTTAAGACACATCAAATATGCTAAAAATGATGAATATATAATGGTGATAATAATAAAAACAACCCACTAGGAGATGCCAGAGAACCACTTCAATAACTCAAAATCATATAAAGGGAAAGAATCCATTTATTCTGCCTTTTCTGTACAAACTATACCTAAGGGTGAACAAACAGTTGACGAGGAAAATTTTTTCTTTAGGAAAATATTCTAGCTAGTAAACGAAGGAATGACAGAATTAGAATATTGCCATTTTGCAGCCCTTACTGAAATAATGGGTCTAGTTAGTAATCATCCATGTTTTCTAAAACCAGTATAGTGGTAAGAAGAACTGTTCTATTTTTAAAACATATGAAAAATATTCTTTTTTTTTGAGACAGAGTCTCGCTCTGTGGCCAGGCTGGAGTACAATGGCGTGATCTTGGCTCACTGCAACTTCCACCTCCCAGGTTCAAGCGATTCTCCTGCCTCAGGCTCCGGAGTAGCTGGTACTACAGGTGTGCACCACCATGCCCAGCGAATTTTTGTATTTTCAGTAGAGACAGGGTTTCACCACGTTGGCCAGGATGGTCTCGATCCCTTGACCTCATGATCTGCCCACTTCGGCCTCCCAAAGTGCTGGGATTACAGGCATAAGCCACCGTGCCCGGCCCATCCCTCAATATGTCTCACCTTACTTCCTCTAATATTACAACCCAACAGTCCTTCAACCCTGTCAGGACCTTCCATTCCTTGATTCTACTAATTTTTTACTGTCCTTCACCCTCTTCCTGTCCTCACTTTTCCACTTACGTAGCCTAAAATCCAAAATCAAAACAACAATCAATTATTTTGCCAACTTAAGACTCCTTTTGCCTCTCTCTCACATTATTCCTCTTTGCTTCATGAAACCAACATTCTGGTTAAATCCAAATCTCCCCCTAACCTGTCTGTGGCTGCAAACTATGCGGATGAACACTGCAGGATAAAAAGCGGATGAACACTGCAGGAGAAAAAACACACAGCTATACAGAATAGGCTCACTTTAAATTCATAAATACTAACATTAAGTGGGTCTTTAATGGTGCCTAAAAATCATAATTTCTCTATTTTCTGTCCCAATCTCTGTGATTTTCTTTCCCCTGCTCTTCTCAAACTCTAGCACCAGTCTCACTCTCATCTGAGTCTCTTTCTAGGTACTTCACTATAAAGTTAAAACAATCATAAGAGAAGGTTCACAAGTTCTCACCAACACATCTGCCCATTTACTTGTATCTGTGCCTGAGTACTTCTCCCTTCTCTCCTGTTATTACCATGGTCAAGGTCCAAGCTCAGCCAAACTCTGCCACGAGATCTCATTTGCTCTGGCTACTTAAGGACATTTTTATATTATCTGCTTTCTCTCCTGTATTGTAGTTTCTCTCTCTACTGGATCATTTCAATCAGTATATAAACAGAATGTATACCTCTTAACTCCAGCTACCATGCCATTTCACTTCTTCCATTTAGAAAAAAAAAAAATCTTCAAGAATTGTCTAGACTTGATATCTCCAATTTTTTCTTTTCCAGTTCTCTCTTTGGCCTAAAATTCCATGGACACTGCTTTCAGGGTCCCTAATAAATGAATTTCATGTTGCCAAATTCCATGTTTCTTTCTCACTCCTCATTTTACGTGGCCTATTGGTAGCACCCGACACAGTTCTTGTTAAAATACATTCTTCCCTTGGTTTCCAGAATATCACACTCACCTAGTGTTCCTTCAACATTTCAAGCTAGTCCCCGTCAGTCTCTTTTGCTAATTCCTCCTTACTTCCCAGAGTTTGTTATGTTAGAGTGACTCAGAGATCAGTCCTTTGTCTCCACCTTTCTCTATCTACCTAACCTCTAAGTGATCTCATTCAGTCTCGTGTTAAATATCATTTATATCCTGATAATTCCCAAATATGTCTCCATCCTAGACCTTAGATCTCTCTTTTGCCTCTCCTTTTGAACTTCATACTTGTATATCCAGTTGCCACCTTGATATCTCCACTTGAATGTCTAATGGGCATCCTCACATTTCACATACTATATTCCAAACTGAAATCTCACTATTTTCCTACATTCCAAGTCAGTTTTTCCTACATTGTTCCCCTTCGCAGTTAATGACACCTCCATTCAAGTTACTCATAAAAACAATATTGTGTCACCTTGTCTCATTCACAATCTGCCTCAGTTTGTCAGCAAATCACGGCAGCTCTACCTTTAAATTATATCTAGTACATGACTACTTCTCACCATTTTTACTACTCTGGTCCAGATCACCAATATCTTTTCCCTAAAGTACTACAATACAATCATATGCTACGTAACATTTCAGCCAACAACAGATCACATATACAACCAGTGGTCCTATAAGATTTTAATGAAGCTAAAAAATTCCTGCCTTTTTTCCTCAGCTGTCGCGAAGGTGCTCGGTCCTTCCGAGAAAGCTAAGGCTGCACTGGAGTGAGGGCCTCACTTCATCCGGCGACTAGCACCACGTCCGGCAGCGCCAGTCCCACACTTGCCTGCACTATGGCCTCCGTCTCCGAGCTCGCCTGCATCTACTCGGCCCTCATTCTGCACGACGATGAGGTGACTGTCACGGAGGATAAGATCAATGCCCTCATTAAAGCAGCCGGTGTGAATGTTGAACCTTTTTGGCCTGGCTTGTTTGCAAAGGCCCTGGCCAATGTCAACAATGGGAGCCTCATCTGCAATGTAGGGGCTGGTGGACCTGCTCCAGCAGCTGGTGCTGCACCAGCAGGAGGTCCTGCCCCCTCCACTGCTGCTGCTCCAGCTGAGGAGAAGAAAGTGGAAGCAAAGAAAGAAGAATCCGAGGAGTCTGATGATGACATGGGCTTTGGTCTTTTTGAGTAAATCTCTTTTATAATGTGTTCAATAAAAAGCTGAACTTTAAAAAAAAAAAAAAATTCCTATCACCTAGTGACGTCATAGCCATCATAACGTCATAGCACAATGCATTACACATGTAACCTAGGTTTATATAAGTACACTCTATGATGTTTGTGGTGATGCTAATGTAAACAAAACACCCCTACTGCACTGCCAGTGGTATAAAAGTATAGCACATACAGTTGTGTATGGTATTAGTATTTGATAATATTATTGATTATTGATCATGCGTATAGTACATAATACTTGAAAATAATAAATGACTGTTACTGCTTTATGTATTTACTATACTATACTTTTTGTTATTTTAAAGTATAATCCTACTTAAAAAAAAAGTGAACTGTAAAATAGCCTCAAGCAGGTCCTTCCAGAGGTATTCCAGAAGACATTATTATCATAGGAGATGATAACAATAACAATGCATGTTTTTTGTTTCCTGCATGTTCCATGCATATTTATTGCCCCTGAAGACCTTCCAGTGGAACAAGATGTGAAGGTGGAAGACAGTGATATTGATGATCCTGACCCTGTGTAAGCCTAGGCTAATGTGTTTGTGTCTTAGTTTTCAGCAAAGGAGTTTCAAAAGTTAAAACGTTTTTAATAGAAAAAAGCTTATAAAGATATAAAGAAAATATTTTTGTACAGCTATACAATATGTTTGTGTTTTAAGCTAAGTATTATTATAAAAGAGTAAAAAAGTTTAAAAAATTTAAAAGTGTATAAAGTAAAAGAGTTACAGTAAGCTAAGGTTAATTTATTACTGAAAAAAGAAAAATGTTTTTATAAATTTAGTGTAGCCTAAGTGTAGGGTTTTTATAAAGTCAACAGTAGTGTACACTAATGTCCTAACCCTTCGTATTCACTCACCACCACACACACACAAAAATATATATATATATAGCTGTACCAGTTTTAATCTTATTTATTTATTTATTTATTTATTTATTTATTTTTGAGATGGCGTCTCACTCTGTTGCCCAGGATGGAGTACGGTGGCACAATCTCGGCTCAATGTGAGCTCCGCCTCCCGGGTTCAAGTGATTTTCCTGCCTCAGCCTCCCGAGTAGCTGGGACTACAGGAGTGTTCCACCACACCTGGCTAATTTTTTGTATTTTTAGTAGAGATGGGGTTTCACCCTGTTAGGCAGGATGGCCTCGATCTCCTGACCTCGTGATCCGCCCACCTTGACCTCCCAAACTGCTGGGATTACAGGCATGAGCCACCACGCCCGGCCCATTTTTAATCTTTTAGACTGCATTTTCACTGTATCTTTTCTGTGTTTAGATATGTTTAGATACACAACGTCTTACCATTGTGTTACAGTTGCCTATGGTAGTCAGTACAGTAACATGCTGTACAGGTTTGTGGCCTGAGAATAGGCTATGCCATACAGCCTAGGTTTGCAGGAGGCTATACCATCTAGGTTGTGTAAGTACACTCCAGGATGTTCGTACAAGGACAAAATTGTCTAACCAAGTATTTTTCAGAATGGATACCCATCATTAAGCAACACAACTGTAGTTTCCTAATTGGTCTCTCTGCTTCTTCCCTTGACCTGCCCGCTTTTTCCTCATTTGTCCTCCCATAGGCCATTCTCATCAGAGCTGCCAAAGCTATCTTCTTAAATTGTAAGCAGATAGTATCATTTCCATGCTCAAAAACCGTCCGGCAGCTTCCCATCTCACTCAGAGGAGAAGCCAAAATTAGTACTACGGGCCATAAAGCCCAATCTGATCTGCCCTCCTCCCCTCCACTTACCTTTCTTCTCTTCTCTCCCACTACTCTCCCCTTCAATTACTCTATTTCAGCCACACCAGCCTCTTCACTAACAGGCATGTTGCCACTTCAAAGCCTTTACAACTGCTGTTCCCTCTGCCTGGAATAACTTTCCTCACTTATGCATAAATAGATCCTTTACTTCCTTCATATCTTTATTACTACCTTTTCAGGATGCCTTCCCTGAAGAGCCCATCTAAAACTCAAACTCCCATCTCTAATTCTAAATATCCTCTCACTTCACATTTTTTCGTAGTATTTTTCACCATTTAATATACTTCATATTTAATTTACTTACCTTGTTTATTATCTGGCCCACAAAAATGTAAGTACCATGATAGTAGGGGGGTTGCCTCTTGTTCACTGCTATATCCCAAGCACCTAGGATCGTGCCTGTTACACAGACAGCGTTCAATAAATGATGAGTCTATGAATGAATGAATCCTTAATATATGAAGAACTCTGGAAAAGAAATTTGAAAACAGAACGCTACTTTAGAAAACGTATAATTCACAAAAGATTTTTTAAATGCTTGACTTCAATAAGTAGTCAAACAATTGTTTTATAGTAAATTAATTAATTTATAGCAATGAGGAACAAAGATTACTACTATTTAGAATATCCATTGTTATCAATGGTGTATGAGGATACAGGCAATCTTATGCCAATAATACTGCAGATTATTGGAACTTACAGAAGAATAATTGGATAGGCTCAGGGAACCTTTAATAAGAGCATACATTTTGACCTATCAATTCTACTTTTAGGAGCCTGCTCCCCCTCCAAAAAATTTAGAAAAGTACATTAAAACATGTGCCAAATAGTTGCTGATAAACACACAGTTTATAATTTCAATAAGCTAGAGAGAACCAAATCACCCATCAGCAGGGGTAAACATATACCATGAAATACTTTAAAATGATGGCATAATTTGTGATTGTTTAAATGGAAAGATACCAATCATATATTGTTAAATAAGAAAGGTTGGTTACAGAGTTGTATGTATGGTGTGACTGCAATTTTGAAGCCATCATGCACATATATAGAACATATGAACGGATACGTATGTATTCACAAAGGCGGGGGTGAAAAGATGGAAAGTAAATTTTGACAGTAGTTGCATGGCTGGTAGAACTATGAATGATTTTTGTTCTTCGAGCTTTTCTGTATTTTTCTCCACCCCACTCTACTCCCCAAATGAGGTGGAGTAGGGGACGAGGAGAATGAGTTTAGTACGTACACAAAACAATGTAGCTAATACACGAAAATAAAATTAAAAATGAAGTGTTGAGGCTATCGATGTTTCATATAAAAACATATTTCCGGTCGGGCGCGGTGGCTCACGTCTGTAATCCCAGCACTTTGGGAGGCCAAGGCGGGTGGATCACCTGAGGTGAGGAGTTCAAAACCAGCCTGACCCACATGGAGAAACCCTTTCTCTACAAAAAATACAAAATTAGCCAGGCGTGGTGGCACGCGCCTGTAATTCCAGCTACTCGGGAGGCTGAGGCAGGAGAATCGCTTGTACCCGGGTGGCAGAGGTTGTGGTGAGCCGAGATCGCGCCATTGCACTCCAGCAGCTTGTGCAACAAGAGCGAAACTCCGTCTCAAAAACAAAACGAAAACAAACAAAAAGAACTTATTTCCAATGACCATAGCCAAAGACATGCAGCGCTGGCAGAAATGCCAAGTGTCACACATCTACACCCACAAGCACACCCTACCTTGCAAAAACAGTTTTTCATTCATTCAAGATCCCACTGTCACGCATGTTTGCACGCAGGTTCATACTGAAAGATAAAAGGGAAAGCGCCTCCACGAAATCCGCTTACGGACACGCTCCCGGGGCCACACTCAGCCAGACAAACGTCTGGCAAATGACAGTCACTTCACGCCAGACTCTCACAGTCCTTCGCACGCCACTCCCACTGCCTCAGGTAACCACAGGCACAGGCATCGCCCCGCCTGGCGTCCTCTTCCAAAGATTGGGGCACCGGGTCCGCGGGCCCCCACTCCCACCCAGCACAAAGAGTCCGGCGCTCAGAGCTAGCGGTTTCCGGAGGACTCACCACCGAGCCCGCGGACACAGGCCCCGAAACCACACGTAAAGCTGCCGAAGTGGCACAGCCGGCGCGGGCTGGGACAGAGGCGCCCCTGAGGCCGGGGCTGTAGGTGGCTGAGGGCGCCACAAGCCTTGGTCCGTTAGACCAGGGGAGACGCTTCCCAGAGGCCCCCGCGGCTCACCCGGGCGGGACCGGCTTCCCCGTTTGCGCGTCCTGAGAAGCCGTCCACGGCGTTCCAGGGCTCACAGCTCCGCGTAGGGGAGCTCAGCCTACGGTTTTGCCGGAGCGGCCTCCTGCCAGCCCAGCTCTCAGATTGGGAGCGCAACTTGGTACTGAGAAAAATCGAGTCGTCCCGCTGCTTCCTGCCCCGAACTACATTTCCCAGAGGCCTTCGCGGCCCTACTCCCCCCTCTCCCCCTGCAAAAAGGCATTTCCTTCTTACAGTGGGCTGGAGCTGCAGGTTCGCAGGGTCCGTGAAGGAAGCCTGGCTCAGTCTGTTTAGTTCCGTCTTCTCGGGTTTCTACCTGAGACTAGAATACGGCGTGGTGAAGGTGGTGAGAGCTCAAGTGCCCGTGAAGGCCGGGTCAGCTGGAGCCTTAAGGTCCTGGCAGCGGCTAGAACAGGGAGGAGTGACGTTGTGTGACTGTATGTGTGAAACTTCGGCCATGGAATTTGGAGTTTGGGGTTTCCCGGGCGAGAGACCATGTCCAGTGACATCTGAGGTCGTGCGAATATGCGACCTTTTGTGTGACCATGGTCGCGTTTTATATTCTCGTGGCTGTTTGATTCTGACCTTGCATGTATTTGTTCTTTCTGGACTTCTCGAAGTGACAGTGTTACTGGATTTCATGACCCGGGATCGTGAGCGAAAAGTAGTGTGGCCAATCCGCCTGGATTCTAAACAGACTTGGCCTTACTAGCTGTGTCATCTCAGACTAGGTACTTAATTTCTCCATGCCTTTAGTCTTAATATCTTTTTTTTTTTTTTTTTTTTTTTGAGACAGAGCCTCACTTTGTAACCCATGCTGGAGTGCTGCGGCGCGATGCTGGCTCACTGCTGCCTCGAACTCCCGGGCTCAAGCGATTCTCTGCCTCAGCCTTCCGAGTAACTGGGACTACAATCACGGGACACCCCGCCTGGCTGATTTTTTTTTTTTTTTTTTTAATTCTTAGAGATGAGGTCTCACTATGTTGCCCAGGCTGGTCTCAAACTTCCGAGCTCAAGCGATCCTCCGCCTGGGCCTCACAAAGTGCTGGGGTTACAGGCAAGAGCCGCACAGGGCCGGTCTTAATACCTTTAATAAAGAGATAATAGGCCGGACGTGGTGGCTTACGCCTGTGATCCCAGCACTTTGGGTGGCCAAGGCGGACGGATCATTTGAGGTCTGGCGGTTTTTTCTCTTTTTCTTTCTTTCTTTTCTTTTTTTTAGACGGACTTTTGCTCTGTCGCTCAGGCTGGAGGGCAGTGGCGTGATGTCGGCTCACTGCAACCTCCGCCTCTCCGCCTCCCGGGTTCAGGCAGTTTTCCTGCCTCAGCCTCCTGAGTAGCTGGGACTACAGGCGCGTGCCACCACGCCCGGCTAATTCTTTTGTATTTTTATTAGAGACGGGATTCCACGATGTTGGTCAGGCTGGTCTGGAACTCCTGACCTCGTGATCTGCCCGCCTCGGCCTCCCAAAGTGCTGGGATTTCAGGCGTGAGCCACCGCGCCTGGCCAAGGGTAGCCAGTGGGAGGCTGCCAGGAGTGTAGTACGCTTGCGCAGTTTATCTCCTCGCACCCTCGCCCCCCCCCCAACTTTTTTCGGGTATCCAGCACAATTCTAGGAATTCGCCTCCCACCCATTTTGAGTAGACGCGCCACTAGCGCGTTCCCACGCACAAACCTTTTCCCTGCGGCCAACCCGCGGTTCTCAACTCCCCGCCCTGGTTGCTAAGTGGGGTGCACGGAGCGCTTGTGCCTACCATACCAGCCACTGTAGTGTAACGCTGGGTCCCGTCCCTGTGACCCAGCCAGGCTAGGAGCTGCAGGGAATCCGGACTTTCGGGCTCTCTGGAAGGCAGGGGAAGAGGCCAGCGTGGGAGGACCTGGTGGGGAGGGGGCAGTGTTACAAACCCTGCGCGGAGCTGCCCTGTTGCTGCCAGACCCTACGGCGCCGCGACCTTTTCTACTCCGGACTACGTTTCCCAGCTGCCCCCGCGGGAGCTGGGCCCGCGGCCCCTTTGTGTCCTCCGGGGGCCGAGGCAGCTGAGGCGCTTCTTTCCGGGCCCGTAGGGGCTGGGTTCCATCCAACTCAGGGTAGGGGTGTGATCCAAGCGAAGATTCCCCAAGCCTTTGGGGCGGGAACGGGCTCTTCCCCCAGCTCTGTTCTGCAGGTAGGGAGTGGGCTGAGGAGTGGCGTGTGGTTCTCCGGAAGCTCGTCCCAGGCCCTCTGTGTGACTCCGGTGCAAGTGGAGGTTGGTACCGTAGTGCGAGGCTGTCACCGCGTGTGCCTGTCCACGTCCTGTGTGACTGGGTGCGAGGGAGTCAGTGGCACCGTGGAGTGTGAGGCTGTGAGTTGGGCGGGGGGAGCGGGCGAGTGTTCGCTGCCCCTTGTTGGGCCGATACCCGCGGCCTCTTTGTGACTGGGTTGTGAGACTGTCGCTTGTGATAGATACCCTGGTGTCTGAGCCTTGCCGGTATGGGAAAGGGTGCCCGTGTGAGACAGTCCATACCCATGGCCTCTGACTGTGGCGTGGGTAAGACGGTGGTTGGCACTGTAGTTTTTCAGACTCTGATTATGTGGGGCATTGAATGAGAGACTGTGTGCCACCGAGAGGCTTTTAAAGCCGGCTCAAGTCATATCAATGTGCCACCAAGTTTCAGAATCACTGATTTATTGGAGAGGAGGATTGTGGAGTCAGGTCCTCTTTTATTTGATCTTGGTGCTCTTATTTATTAGTTCTGTGTCTTTATGTGAAAGCTTACATTCCTCTGAGTCTGTATTTGTAAAACCTAGAACATCTGGTGTTAAGCTAAGGAATTGGAAAATGATTTAGGCATGAGTTAAATTGTATGCAAACAAACTCCTAGGTCTCCATTATGTTCTCTATATTGGAGGGAAGGTTGCAAGAGGAGGAAAGAGAATCCTAAAAAGTCTAGACTGGTGATTCTGGATGCTGCAAGAAAAGTCTAGTTTCTCATGTTCTTTTCCCCATCTCAGTTATCTGAGGCCACTGCCATTTCCCAAGAGAAGAGCAAGGAGGGAGAAAGAATGGCTGTTGGGCTTCTTAAAGCCATGTACCAGGTGCGTTGGTGTTTTCTCTATTTCCTGAATACCTGTCTGCTTTTCAGAACAAGCAGATACTAATTTTCCTTCTGCTGAAACGTTTCTGGGTAACCAGTCATATCACTTATCAACACTCTCCACTGGATTCCCATCTTATTCAAGATAAATGCTTAAGTCCTTGTCTTGACCTGCAGGGCCCTGCATAATCTAGTCCCTGACTGTCCCTCTGACTTCATCTAATTTTTCTCACCCTGTCTGCAACACTAGCTTCCTTGTAATGTGGTGAGTACATTCTTTCTTATTCTTTTTTTTTTTTTTTGAGACATAGTCGCACTCTGTCACCAGGCTGGAGTGGAGCAGCCGCGATATGGGCTCACTGCAACCTCCGCCTCCCGAGTTCAAACAATTCTCCTGCCTCAGCCTCCCGAGTAGCTGGGACTACAGGCACGTGCCACCAGACCCAGCTAATTTTTTGTATTTTTAGTAGAGACAGGGTTTCACCTTGTTGGCCAGGATGGTCTCGAACTCCAGACCTCAGGTGATCTGCCCGCCTCAGCCTCCCAAAGTGCTGGGATTACAGGCATGAGCTACCACACTTGGCCTGGCCAGTGAGTACATTCTTTTTGTTTGTTTGTTTGTTTGTTTTGAGACGGAATCTCTCTCTGTTCCCAGGCTGGAGTGCAGTGGCACGATCTCGGCTCACTGCAAGCTCCGCCTCCCGGGTTCACACCATTCTTCTGCCTCAGCCTCCCGAGTAGCTGGGAATACAGGCACTCGCCACCATGCCCAGCTAATTTTTTGTATTTTTAGGAGAGATGGGGTTTCACCATGTTAGCCAGGATGGTCTTGTTCTCCTGACCTCGTGATCCGCCCGCCTCAGCCTGTCAAAGTGCTGGGATTACAGGCGTCAGCCACCGTGGCTGGCTGCCAGTAAGTACATTCTTAATGCATGGCCTTGCACTTGCTATTCCCTCTGCCTGGGATACTGTTCCCTCAGATACGGATACAGACCAACTTCCTCACTCTAGTTTCTAACCAAACAACATTCATTCATTCTAATTTTTAGTAAGCACGCATTACCACTGGGTGTCACAGTGCTTAGTCCCTCATCCTGTTCTCTATCTACACTTACTACCTTGGTGATCTCATCCTGTCTCATAGCCTCAAATACCATGTATATGCCAACAACTACCAAACTGTACACAGCCCAGACCTCTCTCTTGAACTCTAGAGTTGTATACCTGACTGCCTACTTAACATCTTCATTTGGTTGCATAAGAGATATCTCAAATGCAAACATCTTACAAATGGAGTGAAACGAACCACTGGCGGTTTTGGAACATGAGTGACATGAACTGATTTTCATTTGGTAGGATCACTCTGGCTGCTACTGAGAATAAACTGAATGGGACAAGGATAGAATTAGGGAACTCAACTAGGAAACTCTTAGGTACTTTCCTAGCTCCACTGATTAAGCTAAAAATCTTCCATCAGGAAATCAGAGACTTCAAAATACATCCAGAATCAGATTACTTTTTTTTTGAGATGGAGTCTCGCTCTGTCAGCCAGGCTGGAGTGTAGTGGCATGATCTCGACTCACTGCAACCCTCGCCTCTCCCTGGTTCAAGCGATTCTCTTGCCTCAGTCTCCTGAGTACAGGCATGCGCCACGACACCCAGCTAATTTTTGTATTTTTAGTAGCAACAGGGTTTCACCATGTTGGCCAGGATGGTCTCTCTCTCTCTTGACCTTGTGATCCACCTGCCTTGGCCTCCCAAAGACTGGGATTATAGGCGTGAGCCACGGCATCCAGCCCAGAGTACTTTTTAGTATCACCACTGCTTCCATTATGTTCTGAACCATCATGTCTCACCTGTGTTACTGTGGTACTCTCCTAACTTCTCTCTCTACCTCCACTCTTGTTCTCTTTTAGTCTGTTCTCAGTGGAGCAGCCAAAGTGATGCTGTTAATACATAAGTTGTATGAGTTCATTATTTATAGGCAGAGGGTGGGTGGAAATGACAGAAAGCATAGACAACTCTTTCAAAAAGTTTAGCTATGGCCGGGCGCGGTGGCTCAAGCCTGTAATCCCAGCACTTTGGGAGGCCGAGACGGGCAGATCACGAAGTCAGGAGATCGAGACCATCCTGGCTAACACGGTGAAACCCCGTCTCTACTAAAAAATACAAAAAACTAGCCAGTTGAGGTGGCGGGCGCCTGTAGTCCCAGCTACTCGGGAGGCTAAGGCAGGAGAATGGCGTCAACCCAGGAGGTGGAGCTTGCAGTGAGCCGAGATCCGGCCACTGCACTCCAGCCTGGGCGACAGAGCAAGACTCCGTCTCAAAAAAAAAAAAAAAAAAAAGTTTAGCTATAAGAGGAGAGAGCCGGACGTGGTGGCTCACTCCTGTAATCCCAGCACTTTGGGAGGCCAAGGCGGGCGGATCACCTGAGGTGAGGGAGTTCGAGACCAGTCAGACCAACATGCGGAAACCCCATCTTTACTAAAAACACAAAAAATTAGCCAGGAGTGGTGGCACATGCCTGTAATCCCAGCTACTCGGGAGGCTGAGGCAGGAGAATCACTTGAACCTCGGAAGTGGAGGTTGCAATGAACTGAGATTGTGCCATTGCACTCCAGCCTGGGCAACAAGAGCAAAACTCTGTCTCAAAAAAAAAAAAAAAAAAAAAGAAGGAGAGAAATGGGTGGTAACTGAAGGAGAAAGTCATAATTGACAAAGTTTCAGAAAGATGGATATATGTTGCCAGGCTGATACTAAAGATTCAGTAGAAAGGGAGATTTGAAGATGAATAGAGAAAAGGGAATTGCTGGAACAATGTGCTTAAGTAGGTAAGAGGAGCTAAGTGTTTGGCCTTTTCTAGGAAAGTGGGTTGTTCAGTTATAGGAATAAGGGCATGTTAGGGTGTAGAAGCACAGGTGCAGGTGGATGTGTAGATGTGGTGGGAGTTTATGGGAATTATCTTTCAATGGGTTTTGTTTTCTCAGAGAAAAAGTAAGATTGTCAGCTGAGAGTGAGCATGGGGAAGGAGATCTTGAAGGTGTGAGGAGAAAGGGGATAGTATCAAATGGTCATTTAGCAGAGTGAAGGGATGAATGGACTAGGGAAATGTATCATGCAGCATTTCGGCCCACTTGAGGTTAAGTGATCATGAATTTAAAGTGATACTAATTTGCATGGTTGGTATGATTTTCTCCAGCAGAGTTCAGCTATGCAGGGTACAGGCACAGAGTAAGCAGAAAGATGGCTGCAGTTTAACCAAGTGAGTACAGTTAAGTGAGAGAGGGGCAGGGAAGGCAAGGGCATATGCAGGGGGTGATTATAACAGATGGTTGTGCTGGGAAGTGAGGGTACTCAGGGATGAGGAACAGTGAAAAAGTGGTAAAAAGTGGTAAGAACAATGAATTGTACTTCTCCAGAATTTGACTTCTGGTGGAGTCAAGAAACTATCTAGTTTGGGGTACCACAGGGCAACAGTTGAGATATAGGAGGTGGAAGACAGAGTGGGGTAATTGAGATTATGAAGGGTTTGGTACTGACTGGTACTGACAAGGTCTGGGTTATGACCATGGAAATGAATGACTGTAGAAGCGTAGAGGATAAGACTATTCAGGAGAGAGGGGTCAGAGAACTAAGAGGCCGGGTTGTAGGGAGTATTATTTATGTGGATATCGAAGTGACCAAAGAATGATAGGAATGGCATTGAAGAGAGAGACAGTGAGTCAGATGCTGAAGAATTTAAGGAATGACAGAGAACTGGTATCTATCAGGAATTGGTAGATACCTATCACAAGGAAGGATTGTGATTGACATATTCTAATTTCATGAGGTTTAAAACTAGATGTCTTTTAGGGAGGAGGAAATATTTTGGAAACAAGAGCGAAGAGGTGACCTGCCTCACCTTCAAGTGCTGTGGTACAAGGAATGTGGGGAAGAAAACATTCATCAGTGACAGGGCGTTAGGGGAAGTCGTCCTCTCAGCTGGAAGCCATGTTTCTTTAAGGGCAAAAAGAAAACAGGAAAAAGTGGGAACTGTAGTTTTGCTTCAGACTGGTTTGATGATAATTGTGAATGGATTTTGAAACCAAGTATTATCATTTGTTAGGGTCAAATATTTTAAGATCAGAATGTAAATTCCTATATTGACATAGAAATTATTTTTGTTGACTATAAAGAATCAGTGGAAAGTATGTATGTCGTATATAGATGTTTATACATTTATTATATGTATTTATATAAGTTTTAAACAGGAAGCATTGTTAACAGGAGCAGAGAGGGAGAGATTTGCCTACTTGCTATAATTAAGAAAAAAGGTTACTGAGTGTTGAAGTTGAAGAATTTTGCTTCTGTAGAAGTTGTTTTGTTTTGTTTTTGAGACAAAGTCTTGCTGTGTTGCCCAGGCTGGAGTGCAGTGGCACAATCTCAGCTCACTGCAACCTCTTCCTCCCGGATTCAAGTGATTCTCCTGCCTCAGCCTCCTGAGTACTGGGGATTATAGGTGCTATAATATATAGCACCTATAAAATATAAAATATATATAAAATATAGCTAATTTTTGTATTTTTAATAGAGACAGGGTTTTACCATGTTGGCCAGGCTGTTCTGGAACTCCTGACCTCAAGTGATCCACCCGCCTTGGCCTCCCGAGTGCTGGGATTACAGGTGTGAGCCACCTCACCCAGCCTAGAGACAGTTTCTTTAACTGTAACAAAATTGTGTCAAATGCAAAAAGTTGCATTGCCAGGTTCACATCTTTTAATTTTGTAAAAAATTAATACATACACATATAATGAATGTTTGTTTCATCAGCAAGTGGTCACATTATAGAAATCTGGAATCCAACAGCATCACAGCAGCACGTTTTTTTTTTTTTGTTTTGTTTTAGATGGAGTCTCGCCCTGTTGCCCAGGTTGGAGTGCAGTGGCACAATCTTGGCTCACTGCAACCTCCGCCTCCTGGGTTCAAGCGATTCTCCTGCCTCAGCCTCCGGAGTAGCTGGGACTACAGGCACGCACCACCACGCCTGGCTAATTTTTGTATTTTTAGTAGAGACAGCATTTCACCATATTGGCCAGGCTGGTCGCGAACTCCTGACCTCAGGTGATCCACCCACCTCGCCCTCCCAAAGTGCTGGGATTACAGGCATGAGCCCAGCTCAGTGTCAAGTTTTAAAGAACTTTCTCTAACCCCTATAGGCGGAAGCAATATTATGAGTAGAACACCCATTTCTTTACACAAAATTTTGAGAACTCTGCATTAAAGTATTTGAATTTTAATGGAGTTGATGCTCTGCTCTGCTTGGTTTGGTACAGTCGTCAGAGATACAGCGAACACTTTCTGGGATTATTTTTGATCCCTTTCTAGCTTCTTGAAATTTTCTTCAAGCCACTCATTGATTAATTCAACTTAGTCAATATTTGAATACTTCAGGTGTGCCAGATTCTATTCTGTACCTGGGGATAAAGCAGTGACCAAAGCCAAAACATAATCTGCCCTCATGGAGCTTAAATTTTAGTTGAGGAGGGTGAAGAACGGGCAATGATTAAAATAATTAAGTGCTGTGGAGGGTTAGGGAATTGGGGTTGAAGCATTACTATTTTATACTGGAATAATCTGAGACATACAAAGGCCCTGAGTACAAATATGGTAACATGGTTACATATTTGAGAATGTAATATCAGAGAGGGCCCAGTGTGCCTAGGGCAGAGGAAATGAGGTGAATACGGTAAGAGATAAGGTTCTTTCATTTATTTCATTTCAGGAGTTGGTGACCTTCAGAGATGTGGCTGTAGACTTCTCCCAAGAAGAATGGGATTGTCTGGATTCTTCTCAAAGACACCTGTATAGTAATGTGATGCTGGAGAACTACAGGATCTTAGTATCACTGGGTAAGGATATCTTCTTGCAAAATTCAGCTTCTGCTCAAAAGGGGCTCTTTGCTACCACTATTGTGAATTTTTGGATAACATCTGCAAAGTTTGGCTGAATGTCTGCTGCCGATGCCAAACGAATGGGTTAGTGTTTGTGGATTTGGCAGTGAACATATTCTTGGCCTATGCCTGAAGCTTCATCTTCCTTATCCTTCTAATACATGTCCTTTACACATTTCTCTTTTTTGCTTACTGTAAACTCCCTTTTCCCCGATGATCTAAGGATTGAATGTGAGTTCTAGAATATCCACAGCATGACCAAATTCTACTTTTTTTTCATATATTGCAGGACTTTGCTTTTCCAAACCAAGTGTGATATTATTGTTGGAACAAGGAAAAGCACCCTGGATGGTGAAGAGAGAGCTGACAAAAGGCTTGTGCTCAGGTTAGTGAAGAGGAAATTGGCAAAAATCTTTGCACGTGACAGCTCAGCTTGACTCAAAGGTATCACCTCTTCACTCTTCAGGCTTCCAAATTCTTCTCAGATGTTCTAGGTCTTTATAAAAATTTGGGGCCATTTAGGATGTTCTCCCACATTTCTTATTTTTAATTATTTCACTTCTCTCACTTTCCTATCTCCTTTCTAGTAAGTCCCATTCCCTCTCAGTTTCATAAGCCTCTCAGTCTTTAAAAAATCTTTTACTAGTCTTATAAACTTTTTTTTTTTTTTTTTTTTGAGATGGAGTCTCGCTCTGTTGCCCAGGCTGGAGTGCAGTGGCGCGATCTCGGCTCACTGCAAGCTCCGCCTCCCGGGTTCACGCCATTCTCCTGCCTCAGCCTCCCGAGTAGCTGGGACTACAGGCGCCCACAACCGCGCCCGGCTAATTTTTTGTATTTTTAGTAGAGACGGGGTTTCACCGTGGTCTCGATCTCCTGACCTTGTGATCCGCCCGCCTCGGCCTCCCAAAGCGCTGGGATTACAGGCGTGAGCCACCGCGCCCGGCATAAACTTTTTTTTTTTTTTGAGATGGAGTCTCACTCTGTCACCCAAGCTGGAGTGCAGTGGTGTGATCTCGGCTCACCACAACCTCTGCCTCCCAGGTTCAAGTGATTCTCCTGCCTCAGCCTCCCGAGGAGCTGGGATTACAGGCACACACCACCATGCCCAGCTAATTTTTGTATTTTTAATAGAGACAGGGTTTCTCCGTGTTAGGCTGGTCTCAAACTCCTGACCTCACGTGATCTGCCTGCCTCGGCCTTCCAAAGTGCTGGGATTATAGGCATGAGCCACTGTGCCCGGCATCTTACAAATTTTTGAGCTCTACAGAGCATCAGAAGTGTAGGCAGTCTTGGGGACACATCTGATGCTATCTCCAGGTAGATAGAGCTGAGGTAGAGGACACCCACTGCAGATTTCATTGCTTGCTTGTTGGTGGAGAGAAATCCTCACATTCAGTCACAGAAGCCTTCTGTGTTTATTTTTGTGGTGCGAGAGAAGAGGAAAAAGAGTTTGCATGTGTCGTTTCTCCTAAGGTGCTCATTTTGGGGGAAGTTGTCCTGTGTGTGTTTGTGTGTATGTGTGTGTGTGTATGTGTATTTGTAGCTTTTTTTTTTTGAGACAGAGTTTCTCTCTCTCGCCCAGGCCGGAGTGCAGTGGCACAATCTCGGCTTACTGCAACCTCTGTCTCCTGGGTTCAAGTGATTCTCCTGCCTCAGCCTCCCAGTAACTGGAACTACAGGCACCCACCACCACGCCTGGCTAATTTTTTGTATTTTTAGTAGAGACGGATTTTCACCATGTTGCCCAGGCTGGTCTCAAACTCCTGATCTCAGGTGATCCACCTGCCGCAGCCTTCCAGAGTGCTGGGATTACAGACGTGAGCCACCACACCCAGCCTGTAGCTTATGTTTTTGATACTTTAAGAAACTTTCTATGTTCTGAGTTCATATAGATATCCGAAAATAGTCTTTTAAAGATTGTCCTTTTATATCTAGGTCCATAATCCAATTGGAACTTATTTTTGAGGATTATTTTAAATAAGAATTTAGTTTCTGTATCTTATGGAAAACCAAATGTCCCAGATATTTTTTAAATAAATGCTCCCTCTGCCTGTGTTCCTGAATGTTACCTCTTAATATATCAAGTTTTAGTCTTTTTATGGTTGTGACTTTAAACTTTATTCAATTTCATTGATCTCTTTTTCTTTATACCAGTATCACACTATCTTAATAACAATAGTTTATTAGAAGGATACTTATCTGCTAGGGAACATCTCTACAGCTTGTTTAAATTCTTTAGAATTTCTTGTTTGCCTTTTGGCCATCAATATAAAATTTAGGGTCAACTTGTAAATTTTGATCAGAAAACAACACAATGCTGTTAAGTTTTGATTCCAATTTTAAGTTTTGATTCAAATTTTATTCTGTAATCAATTCTGGAAATTTAAAAAATTCATTAACATGGTATAGCTCTCCATTTATTTAGGTTTTTTTACTTTTTTCAATGTTTTATAATTTTCTCCAAAAAAGGCTATGCACATCTTCTGTTAGATTAATTGTAAACATTAAACATACTAGTTTCGTTGCTGTGTTAAATGTTACCTATATTTTCTGTTTGTTGCACATATATAGAAATGAAGTTAACTTTATATACATTGATCTTATATCCAGCAACCTTGCCAATCTCTCCTGTTAATACTAATATTTTTAGATATGTTTGGATTTTATGTATGAGTAGACATGTTTGTGAATAATGACAATTTCTTCATTTTTAATTCTTATAACTTAATTTCTTTTTCTGTTGCCTTTGTTTTATCTTCAGTATAATATGAATCGAAGTAGTGATAACAGGCATTCTTGTCCACTTCTGGTCTTAATAAGAATACTTTAATATTTTGTTTTTTGATAATTGTGATTTTTAAAAGTTTTTGGTACATACCCTTTCATTCCTGTTTGCTAGAGTTTCATTGTGGAAAGCTTTTGAGTTTTACCAAATGTTTTTCTCCATCTGTAGGTGATTTTACCTCTTACCAGGTTTTAGTTTTTCACCTCTTAATGTGGTAATTTACAGACATTTTCAAATGTTAAACCAACATTGCATTCCCAAGATAAACCCATCTTTTTATCTTTTCCATTTTTTGCTAGTTGCTATTTGCCAATGTTTTGTTTGGGTGTTTTGCATCTGTATTTATTAGTGAATTTGGCCTTCAGTTTTCCCTTCTTGTCGGATTTTAGAATCAAGGTTGATTATTCTCGTAAATTCTCTTTTTCCTCTTTAGAAACATTTGTGAAAAATAAAAATTATTTGTTTTTTGAATGTTTGGTAGAACTTTGTTCATCTTGGCCTGGAATTTTTATTGTTAAAAGAATTTAAACTAATCATTCAATTTGATATGTTCTAAAATTCTAGATTTTCTATTTCTCCTGGAGTCAATTAGGGTATTTTTTTCTAAATATTTTTAGTTTTGATGTAAGTTTCCAAACTTATTAGATGAAGTTGTCCATTATTTTTCTAGTTCTCAATGATCTCTTGATCCATGAATTATTTAGAAATAATTTAGAAATAGAATTATTTAGAAATAATAATTCTGATTATTAAAAATAAGTCTGAAATTGAAGGCTTTTGTTTGGTACTTGTTTAATTGCATGATGGTTAGAGAATGGGATCTCTTTAATATACATTTTTTGAAAGTATTTTGAGACTTGCTTTATTTCTTAGGGCTAGTTTTGGTGAATATTCTATGTGTCCTTGAATATAATATGTATTTTCTGGTTATTGAATACAGTGTTTGATATATGCTCATTAGATTAAGCTCATTAACTGTGCTGGTCAAATCTGTGTCCTTATGGATTTTTAAAAAATGTCTTTGAGCAATCAGTTACTGGGAGACATGTTAAAGAAACTTCTACTCTGGTGGTAAATACATAAATTTTTTTCTCATAATTGTAACAGCAGATTTTTTTGTATTTTGAAGGTATTTTATTTGGTCATATGTTTTTAGAATGTTTTCTTTTTCTAGTGAATTTTTTCTTATGTTATTGTTACTCTCTTTAAATCTCGTGATTATCTGATTAAGCAAAAAAGTTCACTTAATATTGTTATAGCTTTATTTGCCTTTTGTTAATATTTACTTGATGTAGTTTTTTTCTACTCCTTTATTCTCTGACCTTGCCATGTGTTTCTCTGATAAGCAGTATTTGGATAAACATTTTTTTAAATCCAGTCTGATAACCTTTATCTTTTAACCAAATGATGGTGGTTTATTAAATGTTTTGGTACTGTTAATAGACTTGGATTTATTTTCCACTGTCTCACTTTCTTTTAGAAATTGTACCTTTTCAAATTTTTCTTGTTTCTTGGTTTTTCTCCATCTCCTAATTTGAATGATATACAATCTATTTCTATTCTGTACTGGTTACCTTAGAAAATCTAACATTTATGGCTGGGTGTGGTGGCTCACGCCTGTAATCCCAACACTTTGGGAGGCTGAGGTGGGCGGATCACGAGGTCAAGAAATCGAGACCAGCGTGGCCGACATGGTGAAACCCCATCTCTACTAAAAATACAAAAATTAGCTGGGTATGGTGGCGTGCGCCTGCAGTTCCAGCTACTCCGGAGGCTGAGGCAGGAGATTCACTTGAACCCAGGAGGCGGAGGTTGCAGTGAGCCGAGATGGCGCCACTGCACTCCAGCCTGGGCAACAAGAGCAAAACTCCATCTCAAAAAAAAAAAAAATACAAGAACCTTAGACTGTCTTAACTTACCCTCATTTCAGTTATTCCTTGTTTTTCTTCAATGCCATAAACTATTATTTTGCTTTATGAAGTTATATAATAGACCATTATTACATTTAGTGTTGTTTAGATTTATCCACTTTTGGCTAGGTGCGGTGGCTTATGGCTGTAATCCCAGCACTTTGGGAGGCCAAGGCAGGTGGATCACTTGAGTCCAGGAGTTTGAGACCAGCCTGGGCAACATGGTAGAACCCCGTCTCTACAAAATGCACAAATTAGCTGGGTATGGGGGTGTGTGCCTGTAGTTCCAGTTACTTGGGAGGCTGAGGTGGGAGGATTGCTTGAGCCCAGGAGTTCAAGGCTGCAGTGAGCTGAGAACGTGGCACTGCACTACAATCTGGGTGACAAAGCAAGGTTCTGTCTCAAAAAAAAAAAAAAAAAATTTCACGTTTGTCATTTTCCTTGTTCACCATTCTATCCCAGAACTTTTTCCTGAAGTAGTTTCCTTATAAATATTTTAGAGATATACTATTCATATAAACTTATATTGTTGTTATTGTTTTGTTCATTTATATGTTAGTTTTGCTGTCATACATACAAGAACCTTTCCTTGTCAGTCATAGATTGACAGATTTTTTAATTTTTTTGAGATGGAGTCTTGCACTGTAGCCTGGGCTGGAGTGCAGTGGCATGATCTCGGCTTACCGCAACCTCCCCATACCGGGTTCAGGCAATTCTCCTGCCTCAGCCTCCCGAGTAGCTGGGATTACAGGCGCGCGCCACCATGCCCATCTAATTTTTTGTATTTTTAGTAGAGATGGGGGTTTCACTATGTTGGCCAGGATGGTCTCAAACTCCTGACCTGGTGACCTCCCACCTCAGCCTCCCAAAGTGCTGGGATTACACACGTGAGCCACTGTGCCCGGCAACAGATTATTTTTATGAGTGCTTTAAAGATACCATTCCATGCTTTTCTGGCTTGTGTTCTTGCTTTTGAAAAGTCTGTTTTCTTAATATATTCTTCCTTGCAACTTTCAAGAACTTTCTTCTTGCCCTGGTTATTCTACATTTTCAATGTGATGTATCTAGATGTCAATTTCAGCTGCTATACTTGGGATTTATTGTGATTTTTTTTATCTGACCATTAATGGACTCTGGGTAATTATCAGCTATTATCTCTTCACATATTGTCATTTTCCCATTCTCTGTGTTTGTTTTTCCTAAAACTCCAGTTAGATGTGCCTAAGACCAAACTCACCAGGGATAAATTGATGCTCCCAGCTTCAGTTCCACCTTACTTACTTGAAAGTGCCTTCTAGAGTCTGTTTGATCTTTGAGAGTTTACCTTAGTTTCCTGCCAGCTTGGTAATGCAGCTAAAAGAAAGTTTTTCTATTTCTACAAAATCATAAGCTTTTTTGTACCAGGAAGATTTGTCATTATAAAACTAGTCTGCTATATTGCCGGACTACTTTAGGTACCTCATATAAGTGGAATCATACAATATTGGTCCTTTTGTGACTGGCTTATTTCACTTACTGTAATGTCCTCAAATTATATCTGTATTATAGCATATGTCAGAATTTCCTCCTGGTTTAAGGCTGAATAATCTATTGTATGTATATACCACATTTTGTGTTGACTTCATGGAATAGCAACCAGCTGTTACTGCTCTACTCAAACCATTTCAGTGGGTCTCCATCTGTGTTAGGCCGTTCTTGCACTGCTATAAAGAAATATAATACCTGAGACTGGGTAATTTCTATGTAAAGAGGTTTAATTAGCTGTCAGTTCTGTAGGCTATACAGGAAGCATAGTGGCATCTTCCTCCGAGGAGGTCTCAGGAAGCTTCCAATTATGGCAGAAGGTGAACAGAGAGCAGGCACATCACTTGGCAAAAGCCAGGAGCGTATGAGAGAGGGGGGAGGTGCCACACACTTTTAAAGGACCAGATCTCATGAGAATTCCCTCACTATCATGACCGTACCAACAGGATGATACTAAACCATTCATGAGGACTCCACCCCCATGATCCAGTCACCTCCCACCAGGCCCCACCTCCAACACTGAGGATTACATTTCAACATGAGATTTGGATGGAACTATATTACCATGTGTTACGGTTTGACTCTGTGTCCCCATCCAAATCTCATCCTGAATTGTAATCCCCATGTGTTGAGGAAGGGACATGGTGGGAAGTGATTGGATGGGGGCAATTTACCCCATGCTGTTCTCATGCTAGTGAGGAAGTTCTCATGAGACCTGATGGTTTCAAAGTGGCAGTTTCTCCTGCTCGCTCTCTCTGTCTCTCTCTCTCTGTCTCTCTCTCTCTCCCCCTCTCCCTCTCTCCCTTTCTCCCTCTCCCTCTCTCTCTCTCTTCTTCCACCTTGTAAAGAAGGTGCCTGCTTCCCCTTCACCTTCTGCCATGATTGTAAGTTTCCCGAGGCCTTCTCAGCCATGCAGAACTGTGAGTCGATTAACCCTCTTTTGTTTATAAATTACCCAGTCTCAGGTAGTGTCTTTATAACAACGTGAAAACAAACTAATACACTCTCCCTCTCAGAGTAAAAGCCAAATTCCCTTCGAAGGCCTGTGAAGCTTAAATAATCTCATTACCTTTTACCTGCTGACTTTATATCCTGCTACTCACTCTATAGCCACACTGGCCTTCTTAATATTCCCCAGACATAGTAGACATGCTTCTACTTTTGGGCCTTTGAACCAGCTGCTACCTCTTCCCTGAATGCTTTTTCCTCAGAGACTTGAATGACTGACTTCTTCACTTTCTTCAAATCTTTGCTTAAATGTTAACTTATTAATGATTCCTAGCTCTAATTTCATCAGTACCCATGACATCCCCTACCCTGATTTTCTTCCTCTGAAGCACTTAGTATCTTCTAACATAAAATGAAATTTACTTATTTATCACTTATTTTCTGTTTCTTCTAAGAAAATAACATCCTTGAAGGTAATGATCTTTGTTTTGTGATATTAAAAGCATCAGAATAGTATCTGGCAAAAGGTAAATATTTGTTCAATGAATGTTCTTGAATGAAGCAGCTAAAAGAGTGGAGACTATTTCAGTGTCTATTTTATTAACACAGGCATAAAATTGTAACCAGCTCTGACCACATCTCTAATTTCTTCCTGCCCTGAGATTTACTGATTTTTCTTTTATAACTCTAATTATTTCTTCTTAGGTTTCTGTATGACCTGTTTTCAGTTTCTCTTCTTGTATACTTCAGAACTGCAAAAGCCAATGTTCCTGTGGGTTTTGCTATTTAATTCACATATTTTACTTTACAGATGTACTTTCTTAAATATACTTTCTGATACTCAAAGAGGAGACATTTTTTCTTATTATTACTTTTCAGGCTGGGAGCCTATATGTGAGACTGAAGAATTAACCCCAAAGCAGGACTTCTATGAAGAACATCAATCCCAGAAGATAATAGAAACACTTACAAGCTATAACCTTGAATACTCCAGTTTGAAAGAAGAGTGGAAATGTGAGGGCTATTTTGAAAGGCAACCAGGGAATCAGAAGGCGTGTTTCAAGGAAGAGATAATCACTCATGAAGAACCCCTTGTTGATGAAAGAGAACAAGAATATAAATCTTGGGGAAGTTTTCATCAGAACCCACTGCTTTGTACACAAAGGATAATCCCCAAAGAGGAGAAAGTACATAAACATGACACACAAAAGAGAAGCTTTAAAAAAAATTTAATGGCTATTAAGCCCAAGAGTGTCTGTGCAGAGAAGAAACTTTTGAAATGTAATGACTGCGAAAAAGTCTTCAGCCAGAGTTCATCCCTTACTCTTCATCAAAGAATTCATACTGGAGAGAAACCCTATAAATGTATAGAGTGTGGAAAAGCCTTCAGCCAGAGATCAAATCTTGTTCAGCATCAGAGGATTCACACTGGAGAAAAACCCTATGAATGTAAGGAATGTAGGAAAGCCTTCAGTCAGAATGCACATCTAGTTCAACATCTGCGAGTTCATACTGGAGAAAAACCTTATGAATGTAAGGTATGTCGAAAAGCCTTCAGTCAGTTTGCCTACCTTGCTCAACACCAGAGAGTTCATACAGGAGAGAAACCCTACGAATGTATCGAATGTGGGAAAGCTTTTAGCAACAGATCATCCATTGCTCAACACCAGAGAGTTCATACAGGAGAGAAACCCTATGAATGTAACGTCTGTGGGAAAGCATTTAGCCTTCGTGCATACCTTACAGTACATCAGAGAATACATACTGGAGAGAGACCCTATGAATGTAAGGAATGTGGGAAGGCCTTCAGCCAGAATTCACACCTTGCTCAACATCAGAGAATTCATACTGGAGAAAAGCCTTATAAGTGTCAGGAATGTAGAAAAGCATTCAGCCAGATTGCCTACCTTGCTCAGCATCAAAGAGTTCATACTGGAGAGAAACCCTATGAATGTATCGAATGTGGGAAGGCTTTTAGCAATGACTCGTCCCTTACTCAACATCAGCGAGTTCATACTGGAGAGAAACCTTACGAATGTACTGTTTGTGGAAAGGCTTTTAGTTACTGTGGATCCCTTGCCCAACATCAGAGAATTCATACTGGAGAGAGACCCTATGAATGTAAGGAATGCAAAAAAACCTTCAGGCAGCATGCACACCTTGCTCATCACCAGAGAATTCACATTGGGGAGTCACTGTCACCACCCAACCCAGTCAATCACCAAGTCCTATAGATCCTGAGTCCTAAATGTTTCTAGAATTTGTACTCTTTTTTATCTTTAATGTTGTCACCTTGGTCCGATTCATCTTACTCTGATTACTAATATAGCTTTCAAACAGGTCTTCCTGTATTTATTTTTGCTACCTTTAAGTCCATTTCCCACAATGCACTCAAACTGATCTTTTTTTCTTTCTTTTTAAAACTTTTTTTTTTATTTTTGAGACAATGTCTTGCTCTATTGCCCAGGCTGGAGTGCAGTGGGATGATCTCAGCTCACTGCAACCTCTGACTCCCAGCCTCCACCTCCAGGGTTCAAGCAATTCTTGTGCCTCAGCCTCCCCAGTAGCTGGGACTACAGACATGCACCACCATGCCTGGCTAATTTTTGTATTTTTTAGTAGAGATGGGGTTTTGCCATGTTGGCCAGGCTGGTCTTGAACTCCTGATCTCAAGCGATCTGTCTGTCTCGGCCTCCCAAAGTGCCTGGATTACAGGCATAAGCCACCACGCCCAGCCTTTAACTGTTCTTTTCAAAGTATAAGAAACAATATATGGGCTGGGCACGGTGGCTCACACCTGTAATCTCAACACTTTGGGAGGCCGAGGTGGGCGGATCACCCGAGGTCAGGAGTTTGAGACTAACATGGCGAAAGCCCATCTGTACTAAAAATACAAAATTAGCCAGGCATGGTGGTGCACACTTGTAATCCCAGCTACTCTGGAGGCTGAGGCAGGAGCTTCACTTGAACCCGGGAGGCAGAGGTTGCAGTGAGCTGAGATGGCACCATTGCACTCCAACCTGGGCAACAAGAGCAAACTCCATCTCAAAAAAAAAAAACCAGAAAAGAAAACACATATTACTATCTCCAGTTAAAACTTTTTTTTTTTTTTTGCTTGTTATTGTTCTTAGACTAATATTCACAGCCTTTAAAATTGTCTGCGAGGCTTTTTGTTATTTAGTTCTTACACACCATTCAGCCTTATTTTATTCCAGTCTTCTTCTTTGGGCACTAGGCACTTCCCAGGACGAAGAGCTTAGATTCTGGAAAATCATAGCTCCAACACTACTATGGCATTGTGTGACTTTGAGCAATTTGCTTATCTAAACCTCAGGGTTTTCTTTAAATCTTAAAATAGGAATAATACAGGATACTGTACTGTAGAAATGTTGTTAGTATTAAGTGAAATAGTGTCTGTTGTAGACTGGTGCATATTAAATGAGAAATTTGCATGTAAAGTATTTCATATAGTCTGTCAAATAAAGCAGATATTCAATAAAGGATAATAGCTAACATATACTGAGTGCCCACTACACATCAGGCACTGTCTTACATACTCTACATATATTAACTTACATACTCTACATATATCATTTACTCCTCACAATCAAAACAGGATTCCTTATTGGACAAAGTAAAGCATTCCTGCAAAACCCCAGTTCGGAATTTGGAAAATCTAAAAATTTTAGAACATAAATGGCAGTCTTTGTGCTGTAGCTTAGTAGTGGATATAAACTTAGGTAGTGGAACTACAACACTGATAGCCAGTCTTAGGAAGTTTCTAAAGATAATGAATTGGATAAGCCAATTAAGAAAAATAGAATTCACTGGGAAGAATGCAGAACCTATATTTAGATCAAGGAAGGAATAGAAATGGTTACAATTAACAAAAAAAAAAAAATCAATAAACATAGAAATTCACGTGGTCCACTTAAATAGGCACCACACCCTTGCCGGGCGCAGTGACTCACATCTGTAATCCCAGCACTTTAGGAGGCTGAGGTGGGTGGATCATGAGGTCGGGAGTTGGAGACCATCCTGCCTAACATGGTGAAACCCTGTCTCTACTAAAAATACAAAAATCAGCCAAGTGTGGTGGCACACACCTGTAATCCCAGCATCCCAGCCACTAAGGAGGCTGAGGCAAGAGAATTGCTTGAACCCAGGAGACAAAGGTTGCAGTGAGCCGAGATCGTGCTACTGCCCCTGAACCTGGGCAACAGAGCGGGACTCCATCTCAAAAAAGAGAAAAAAGCACCATACCCAGGTAATTATATGGTTGAATTCTGGTAATTTAGAAGGCATGTAAAGGGTTCCATACTATAGAAAAATGTAAAGTTTTTAAATTTTTTATCCAGTGGTTGCAAAATTGAAATCAAAAGGGGATTAAGGGAAGAAAACAACAGACAGATATACAAATATTAATATAGGCATTCATTCTGTTAATATTGAGTAATTACTATTTGTGATACACTGTTTTAGGTATGAGGAAATGACAGCAATACAAAGGCCATATTCTCACATAGTAAAATTCCAGAGGTGGAGATATGTAAATTAATACTTAAATATAAAACAGTAGATTTTCTAAACCCAGAAAACTGAAGAGTAACAAGAAAATAAATCAAGGAACATTATATAGCCTAGACTACAGAGATAAAGTTGGCAATTCTTCCTAATTAAAAATTCACTGCAATTCCAGCCAAAATGTTTCAGTGTATTTTTTTTTTTTTTGCCCTTTAGCTTCACAAGTTTGTTCTGAAATTTATCTATGAGGTATAAATTCTTAAGAGCAGCAAGAAAATTATCGACTCTATTTGTAGAAACTGCGTATGGTGATGGTTCATACCAGTAGAGAAAGACTGGATTTGGGGGTATTACTAGTAGTAAGGGGATTCACTAGTAGTAAGGGAAATGCAAAATAAAATCACAATGAACTATTTCAAAATCATCATATTGGCAAAAGCATTAGAGTGGCAGTTACTGGAAAGATGTGGAGCAATAGGAACACTCATACGGTGCTATTGGAAGTAGTTGTATTTAGCACAATTTGGCAATGTCTAGTAAAGTGGAAGATGTGAATAACCTTTGACCCAGCAATTCCACGTTTAAACCTCTACATAGTCTCTCCTTGTGTTTCAAGGAGATATATATGATGGTCCATTGCAGCACTGTTTGTGAGAATGAAAAGTTGAAAGCAATCTAACCATTAGGTTAAACACAAGATAGAATGCAAACTAAAATGGATAGAGATATTTCTGTTAACATGGGTAAATCTCAAAAATAGTATTAATGAAATTGAACTACAGAGTATTTTGTATAATACAGTATAACATGTACAATTTCAAAACATGCAAATTAGTGTTATGTATATTTTTCATGGCTAAATACTATATGAAAATAATCTAAAAGAATTCATAAAATAATCATCAGATTCAGAACAGTGATGACCTGCAGGGAGAAAGACAAATGAGATTGGGGAAAGGATGCAAATGAAAATATCTTTCATTATTTATTTATTTTAAAAATAAGCAAATACTGTATAGCCAATTCTTAAAATTTGATAAAGCTGACTGTGAGTATATGAGTCGGTTCTTACTCTCTGTGTCTTTCTGTATATTTAAACTATTTCGTAATGCAAAAAAAATAAAGAACATTTAAATGATGTTTGCTTTTATCAGGTTTTTTTTTTTTTTTTTTCTTTTTTGAGATGGAGGCTCACTCTGTCGCCCAGGCTGTAGTGCAGTGGCATGGTCTTGGCTCACTGCAACCTCCGTCTCCCAGGTTCAAGCGATTCTCCTGCCTCAGCCTCCCAAATAGCTGGGATTACAGGCACGCACCACCACGCCCAGCTAATTTTTGTATTTTTAGTAGAGATGGGGTTTCGCTATGTTGGCCAGGCTGCTCTTGAACTCCTGACCTCAGGTGATCTGCCCGCCTCGACCTCCCAAAGTGCTGGGATTACAGGTGTGAACCACTGTGCCCTGTCAGTTACTTTCTTACTGTTCCCCAGGCGTGCCACTGGTATTCCTGTATTCACCATTTTCTTCAGAAAGAAGCTTATTTATGGTCTATTTCCAGAGGCAACCATTGTTAACAATTTTAAGACTATCTTTCCATGTGTGACTGGTTTGAGAATGACGTTTTATGCTAAGGATTTTATAAGCCTAATTTTCCCATCATCATTCTTATTGTTTTTAGGACCCCATTGTATATGCACCATGATTTGTTAATTTCCCTTTGTGTACCATCTGAGTGTCCAGAATTTTTCTGGGCCAATTACTATTCTTTCTGAACTCAGTTTTCTCAGATGTTAAAGGGAGGTAAATCTTTATTTTGGAACTGTTACATGCATTTGTCATAATACATGTTAAATTTACAGTAGTATTTAGTAAAAGTTATTATTTTATAAAATATACTGTGAAAGGAAACAGGAAGGGAAGTGGCATGAGGCTGTTACAAGTAGAAGCAGGCGGTGGAGACAAATTTACTTCAGATACATAGGCAGCATACAGAAACAAATACACAGAGACTCTGGATTTTTAAATGTATGCCTAACTTAGTCACTGTGATTATAATCAATATCCAGCAGAATTTGTTGATAGCTTCACATTTTTATATTTTTCTCATTTATAAGTCAATGGAAAAATAAGCAATTAAGAATATCAAGGAAATTGTCTATCACTGTCAAAGAGAGGCCTCAGACATCCATACCTGAATGGTTGAAAATATCAACAAGAAACAGGATGGCAGAGTGAGGGAGAGTGCTTGTCTACCACACTCCAACACACTGAAGTGAAAGTTAAAGCAGTAGATAAAAATTAAAGCCCTGCCAGACGTAGCGGCTCATGCCTGTAATCCCAGCACTTTGGGAGGTCGAGGTGGGTGGATCACAAGGTCAGGAGTTCAAGACCAGCCTGGCCAACATGGTGAAACCCCGTCTACTAAAAATACAAAAATTAGCTGGGCATGGTGGTGTGTGCCTGTAATCCCAGCTACTCGGGAGGCTGAGGCAGGAGAATTGCTTGAACCCGGACCCAGGAGGCAGAGGCAGCAGTGAGCCGAAATCACGCCACTGCTCTCCAGCTTCGGCAACAGAGCCAGACTCTGTCTCAAAAAAAAAAAAAAAAAAAAAATTAAAGCCCTTCTTCTCTTCCCTATTTTGCCTCATTCACTCATTCATATCCTTTAGCTAGAGATACTTGTGTAATCTGAGCTATAGCCCAGTGTCTTTTTTTTTTTTTTTTTGACTGTTTAGGTGACTTTTAGCAAGTAGTCTAGGAAGTGAAATTGTTAGGTTTCCAGCCCCTGAAACAAAGGTAAGAGCACAAAAAGAGGTAGAAATTAGTGCTGATTAGAAATAAACAATATTGGCTTGGCGCAGTGGCTCACGCCTGTAATCCCAGCACTTTGGGAGGCTGAGGTGGGTGAATCACGAGTTCAGGAGATCGAGACCATCCTGGCTAACACAGTGAAACCCCGTCTCTACTAAAAATGTTTTCAAAAATTAGCCGGGCGTGGTGGTGGGCGCCCGTGGTCCCAGCTACTCAAGAGGCTGAGGTGGGAGAATGGTGTGAGCCCAGGAGGCGGAGCTTGCAGTAAGCCAAGATTGCACCACTGCACTCCAGCTTGGGCGACAGAGCGAGGCTCCGTCTCAAAAAAAAAAAAAAAAAAAAAAAAGAAATAATATCTAGCACCACATATAGAGGACAGAGTGGGAAATAAAACCCATGATCTAAACAGAGGCAACTACTACAGCTCCTATAAAGACTTTGGAGGAGGGGTAGGTTCTATGGGAAATTAGTGGTGCAATGGTATCTACGTGCCAGCAGATACCAAGGGCTAGCTGTCACTGTAATGTATATTCATATGTCTTGAAGACTCACCATTGTGGGCTAAGAGATGTTGAATGGGGGCCTTGAACCCAAACCAAAGCAACATCCCTAGTTCAAAGCTACTCAGTTTAGATGAATCTGCTTATACTATCTGTTGTTTCTATTTGATCTTATTCATGTGGTTCTGTCCCCTTGCATGCTGGATATCTGTGACAACTTGCTGGTCACTGTTCCTGAAAAATGATTTGTGGATGCTCCCTAAGGCATAAGGTGCCTCCAGAGTGGATTGTCATTTACCCCTTCCAGGTATCACCAGTCCAGCCCATCTCAAATTGAGTTCATAATGTGAAATTCCTTAATTTACTCAGGTTATGAATCCACAGCTTCCCATACCTGGTGAAATATAAAAAGGAAAAAAAGAAAAACAGGGCTTTACCCCAGGAAAATCAAACCAGAACTTCTGGAGGTGGAGCCCAAGAATTGGGATTTTAAAAATCTCTTTGGGTGATTTTAAGATGTAGTTAGAATTGAGAACAACCAGGCTGGGCGTGGTGGCTCACGCCTGTAATCCCAGCACTTTGGCAGGCTGAGGAGGGCAGATCACCTGAGGTCAGGAGTTCGAAACCAGCCTGGCCGACATGGTGAAATCCCGTCTCTACTAAAAATACAAAAATTAGCCAGGCATGGTGGTGTGCGCCTGTAGTCCCAGCTACTCAGGAGGCTAAGGCAGGAGAATCACTTGAAGCTGGAAGGCAGAGGCTGCAGTGAGCCAAAATCGCACCACTGCACTCCAGCCTGGACAACAGAGTGAGACTCCGTCTCAAAAAAAAAATAATAAGTTATCAGAAACTAGGTGTATACAGCACCTTTGACATACCTAACTCCATCTTAGAAAAAGACTCCATTTCATTTTTCTTTTTTCTTTTTTTTTTTTTGAGATGGAGTCTCGCTCTGTCGCCCAGACTGGAGTGCAGTGGCCGAATCTCAGCTCACTGCAAGCTCCGCCTCCCGGGTTTACGCTATTCTCCTGCCTCAGCCTCCCGAGTAGCTGGGACTACAGGCGCCAGCCACCTCGCCCAGCTAGTTTTTTGTATTTTTTAGTAGAGACAGGGTTTCACCGTGTTAGCCAGGATGGTCTCGATCTCCTGACCTCGTGATCCGCCCGTCTCGGCCTCCCAAAGTGCTGGGATTACAGGCTTGAGCCACCGCGCCCGGCTCCATTTCATTTTTCATAGAACACTTTGCCAACAAGATATTTTGCTTAATTAAAAAAGAATAAAGACTGCATCCAACCAGTTAAGCACATGAACAAGCACATTCTTCCACCATCAGTTCTCTCCAGAGGACTCTGTGACAATAAAGATTAGGCCTTCAGCAGCATGAAAAGGCCATCTTAACTGACACTATCTTGCAGTTACTTGTGATAAGAACTTGGCATCTGTTGTGGAAGGCTGTGCCACATCAAAAATTCTTTCTTGCAAGACTGATGGACTGCCTAAGTCCAGACTAGGACCTCTTTTGTCTTTGCCCATGGACTGGTTCCTTAACCCTTTCTCCTATCTCTTTTTCCTCTTGATGTTAAATATTCCTTTGTTTGTTGTAGAATGTCTGACCAAGAACGTTTATATATTAAGTACACTATTGGCTGGGTGTGGTGGCTCACACCTGTAATCCCAGCACTTAGGGAGGCTGAGGCAGGTGGATCACGAGGTCAGGAGTTCGAGACCAGCCTGGCCAACATAGTGAAACCCTGTCTCTACTAAAAATAGAAAAAAATGAGCTGGGCATGGTGGTGCATACCTGTAGTCCCACCTACTCGGGAGGCTGAGGCAGCAGAATCACTTGAACCCGGGAGGCAGAGGTTGTGGTGAGCTGAGATCACGCCACTGCACTTCAGTTTGGACAACAGAGTGAGACTCTGTCCCCCCGCCAAAAAAAAGGTACACTATTATATATGCTTTGCAATATTGACTGACTTCTGGAGTATCTTGAACCTGTGTGCCGCTGCTCTGCCTCCGGAGTGAAGGGGAAGTACTAAGGAGAATGCCTCCTTGGGAACTCCACGTAGCTCACGTTGCTGTGATTGAACTAGCATCAATAAAAGGCTGACATTGTGGCAAGATACAAGCATGTGTGCCCCTGGTTATCTTTAACCTTGCACCACATGACACTAGGAAATAAGGAAAATATATTATTTTGTTATCCCGTGTATCCTTGCAAAGTCATACTACAACACAGTCTAACAAACTGTTCTAGGGGCTGGTTTTCCCACAGTCAGCACCATTCACATTTTGGGCCAGATAATCCTTTGTTACAGAGGATTCTTCTCTACATCACAGAGTGACTGGAAGCATTCTTGGCCTCTTTCTACTAGATGCCAGTAGTATCCTACCCCCACCATTGTGACAACCAAAATCATCTTCAGGCATTGCCAAATGTCCCCTGGGGCTTAAAACTGCCCCGGGTTGAGAATTCATTGCTCTGGTGTAATGAACCTTTATTTGATTGACTCTGTTATTGATTAGGATGTAGGTCGTGTAAAAATAGATGTTAACTTGCAGACAATTGATGCATTTTCATATATTCATCTGGTATAGCTACAAATTGATTCTGTGCAGAAGAAATAACCTTAAAGGTATGGTTTTATTGCCCTGTAGGGATATTAAATAGTTTTTATATCTAACTTTGCAATCTTATTCAAATATTCTATTATTTTTCACTGAAAAAAATGTATATACCTGTTCACTTGGAAATCAATTTCCAATTCCCTTGCTAATAAGTGATATGAATCTTTGAATATCTGTAAAAGAGTTAAAAATTACAAGTTTTTGGAAATTATACTTTGATACTTGTTTCACCCTTGCCCCTGTGCTCTCCCCGCCTCCACATACTCTCAGGACAGGATGGGCTGTCGCCTCTCCTCATCCCAGGCTACTCCCATGATCAACTTGATCCAGGGATGGCCACATCCCACCCAGATCCAGAGCACCCTACACTCATGCCAAGCCACATCTCTATTAACACTCAGGCCACAGCCTGAGAAAGATGGCAAGACCCCATCTCTACAAAAAAATAAAAATAAATTAGCTGGGCATGGTGGTGTGTGCCAGTAGTTCCAGCTACTTGGGAGGCTGAGGCAGGGGAATCACTTGAGGCCAGGAGTTCAAGGTTGCCGTGAGCCATGATGGTGCCACTGCACTCTAGCCTGGACAACAGAGTGAGATCCTGTCTCTAAAAAAAAAAAAAACCCAAAAGGTCAAACTAAACCAGACAAAACACCAAAAAATAAAAATAAAAATAAAAAAACAACAAACTGAAGGGGGCCTGCCCCTCCACACCTGTGGGTATTTCTCACAAGATGGAGACAAGAGACTGAGAAAAGAAATAAGACACAGAGACGCCAGGCGCGGTGGCTCACATCTGTAATCCCAACACTTTGGGAGGCCAAGGCAGGTAGATCACCTGAGGTTGGGAGTTTACCAGCCTGACCAACATGGCGAAACCCTGTCTCTACTAAAAAATACAAAATTAGATGGGCATGGTGGCACATGCTTGTAATCCCAGCTACTTGGGAGGCCGAGGCAGGAGAATCACTTGAACTCAGGAGGCAGAGGTTGTCGTGAGCCGAGATTACACCATTGCACTCAAGCCTGGGAGACAAGAGTGAAACTCCTTCTCAAAAAAAAAAAAAAAAGAAAAAAAGACACAGAGACAAAGTATAGAGAAAGAAAAGTGGGCCCAGGGGACCGGCACCGTCCCCAGTCTCTGAGTTCCCTCCGTATTTATTGATCACTATCTCTACTATCTCAGGGGGATGTGGCAGGACTATAGGGTAATGGTAAAGAGAGGGTCAGCAGGAAAACATATGAGCAAAGGACTGTGTGTCATAAATAAGTTTAAGGAAAGGTGCTGTGCCTCGATGTGCACATAGGCCAGATTTATGTTTAACTTTACACAAACATCTCAGTGCAGTAAAGAGCAGTATTGCCGCCAGCACGTCTCACCTCCAGCCACAAGGCGGTTTCTCCTATCTCGGTAAATAGAATGTACGATCGGGTTTTATACCAAGACATTCCATTCCTAGGGATGAGCAGGAGACAGATGCCTTCCTCTTATCTCAACTGCAAAGAGGACTTCCTCTTTCACTAATCCTCCTCAGCACAGACCCTTTACAGGTGTTGGGCTGGGGGACGGTCAGGTCTTTCCCTTCCCACGAGGCCATATCTCAGACTGTCTCAGTGGAGAGAAACCTTGGACAACACCCAGGCTTTCTTGGGCAGAGGTCCCTGTGGCCTTCCGCAGTGCATTGTGTCCCTGGGTACTCGAGACTGGAGAATGGCAATGACTTTTACCAAACATACTGCCTGCAAACACATTTTTCACAAAGCACATCCTGCACAGGCCTAAATCCATTAAACCTTGAGTCAATACAGCACATGTTTCTACAAGCACAGGGTTGGGGCTAGGGTTACAGATTAACAGCATCTCAAGGCAGAAGAATTTTTCTTACTACAGATCAAAATGAAGTTTCTTATGTCTTCCTTTTTCTACATAAACACAGTAACAGTCTGATCTCTCTTTCTTTCCCCTACAACAAACAAACAACACTCAGGCCCAGGTAAGGTCCTTTCTGCTCCAGAGCAAGGAAGCGCTGTGCCTCCTTTTAGGCCAAATTTGGGGCCTGTATCCTTTTAAATGATGACAGTGTCCAGGGCCACCACATGTAGTTCAAGGCTTGGACCTATAGGCATAAGCTCACTGGAACAAGTGAGCACTGATGGTCAGTGCAGGTTGGGTTAGCCCAGAGCCTTGGAGCTAAGTCTGCCTAGAGGCTCCTTTCTCGAATTCCTCTGCCTAGAGGAATCGCCCTGTCATAGGCCGTAAATGCTGATGATGACCTTGGCAGGGTCCTATCTTTCTGCAGACTATGATAAAGTTCGGTTACTTCTTTTCTACTCCCTCTCTGTTCCCTGGCCCACATCACTACTCAATACTCTCAACAGTATGCTTTTTCTTTTAAAAATGAAGGTATAATTTACATATAATAACACAAATAAGTGTTCACTTTGATGAGTCTTGACAATTACATAGGCCCATGAAACCACCACCTAAAACAATACATAGAACATTTTCCTCACCCCCTAAATTATCTTTGAAGTCAATAGCCCCAGCCAGGCGCAGTGGCTTACGCCTGTAATCCCAGCATTTTGGGAGGCTGAGGCAGGCGAATCACTTGAGGTCAGGAGTTCGAGAACAGCCTGGCTAATATGGTAAAACCCCAGCTCTACTAAAAATACAAAAATTAGCCGGGCGTCGTGGTGCATCTCTGTTTGGCTTCCTCAGCAGGTGGCTGTAATTCACTACAAAGGACATCAATGAGAAGACATGGCCGTTGCCCGTGGTAACCAAAGAGCCGACTCTGCAGCTCGAGGGGCAGCTCAGCTCCCAGTCTCGCCTTTGACCCTACTGCCCGCTGTGTCCTTTCTGCAGTCTGACTTACCAGACCACCCAGAATACTCCCCAGAAGAAGAAATACAAGATTCAGATCTTCAAGCCAGTGAAAATCAAGAACGTTGGTGGATTCTTCCTGATTCCAGAATTTTCATGCCCTGAGCCCTCAGGAAACTTTAATCAATCGTCTGCATTCTACCACCCATTTGGGCGGAGTAAAACTGGCCCAGCTTCTAAGGAGCCATTTCAAGATCCCTCACCTTCAGGACTTCACTAACCAAGCAGCTCTCCTGTGCACAGCTTGTGCTCAGGTAAACGCCAAACAAGGTCCCAAGCCCAGCTCAGGCCACCGCCTCCGGGGAGGCTCGCCAGGAGAAAAGTGGGAAATTGACTTTGCAGAAGAAAAACCAGGGTATAAATACCTCCTGGTGCTAGTAGACACCTTTTCCGGATGGACTGAGGCATTTGCCACCAGAAACGAAATTGCCACCATGGTAGATAAGCTTTTACTAAATGAAATCATCCCTTGACACAGGTTGCCTGTTGCCATAGGGTCTGATAATGGACCAGCCTTCACCTCGTCCATAGCTCAGTCGGTCAGCAAGGCATTAAACATTCAGTGGAAACTCCATCGTGCCTATCGACCTCAGAGCTCTGGACAGGTAGAACGCATGAACCGCACCCTAAAAAGTACTCTTACAAAATTAATCCTAGAGACTGGTGAGGATCGGGTAAAGTTCCTTCCTTTAGCCCTTCTTAGAGTAAGATGCACCGCTTACCGGGCTGGGTTTTTACCTTTTGAAATCATGTATGGAAGGGCTCCACCTGTCTTGCCTAAGCTAAGAGATACCCATTTAGCAGAAATCTCACAAGCTAATTTGTTACAGTACCTGCAGTCTCTCCAACAGGTACAGGACATCATCTAGCTGCTTGTCCAGGGAGCACACCCCAATCCAGTTCCTGACCCTGCCACTCTTTCCAGCCGGGTGACCTGGTGTATGTTAAAAGGCTGCAGAAAGGAGGACTCACTCCTGCCTGGAAAGGACCTCATACTGTCATCCTCACCACGCCAACAGCTCTGAAAGTGGATGGGATTTCTGCTTGGATTCATCACTCTCGCATCAAAAAAGCCAACAAAGCCCAGCAAGAAACATGGGTCCCCAAGCCTGGGCCAGGCCCCTTAAAACTGCACCTAAGTCGAGGGAAGCCATCAGATTAATTCTCTTTATTTACCTCTTTTGTTTGTTTCTGCCTATTATGCCTTCTGCCCCCTCTACTCTTTTCTCACTTCTTTCACAACAGGACGTATGTTTGCAAACACCACTTGGAAGGCAGGAACCTCCAAGGAAGTCTCTTTTGCAGTCGATTTATGTGCTTTGTTCCCAGAGCCTGCCAGTACCCAGGAAGAACACCACCACCTGCCGGTCATGGGAGTGGGGAACATCGACCTTGCTGCAGGGTTCAGACACACAGGAAGCCGGACTGGATGTGGAAGCTCTGAAGGTGCAGAAAAAGGACTCCAGAATGCTGACTTTTACCTCTGTCCTGGAAATCACCCTGACTCTAGTTGAGATTCTTACCAGTTTTTCTGCCCTCACTGGTCGTGTGTAACCGTAGCCACTTAGCCTGGAGGATCAACCCGGTTCTCAACCCTCTCCATAACTCGCATTTCCCATCCTAGACTGTGTATTATAGAAAATAGTAACCCTCTTACTATAACTGTCCGTAACCCTGGTTCGGCTCAATGGTATTATGGCATGTCATGGGGATTAAGGCTTTATATCTCGGGATTTGATGTTGGAACTATGTTCACCATCCAGAAAAAAATCCTGGTCCCATGGAGCCCTCCTAAGCAAATTGGTCCTTCAACTGATTTAGGTGACCCTGTGTTCCAAAGACACCCAGACAGGGTCGATTTAACCATCCCGCCGCCTCTCCAGGTTCCTAAATCTCAGCTACCATGACCACATCTCTAGCCCAGCCTAATGTCCATTCTGGACGGGGTACGTTACCTCCTTAATCTCACCCAGCCTAAACTAGCCCAAGATTGTTGGTTGTGCCTAAAAGCAAAACCCCCATATTATGTTGGTTTAGGAGTAGAAGCCAGGCTAAAATTGACTCTCTTCCTTGTCGTACACGCCCCCATGCCCTTACACTAGGATACGTGTCAGGAAACGCCTCCTGTCTAATTAGCACCAGGTATAACTTGTCTGCGTCTCCCTTTCAGGCCACCTGTAATCAATCTCTACTTACTTCCTTAAACACCTCAGTCTCCTACCAGACACCTAACAATACCTGGTTGGCCCATACTTCAGGCCTCACTCGCTGCATCAATGGGACTGAACCTGGGCCTCTCCTGTGCATGTTGGTTCATGTGCTCCCCTAGGTCTGTGTGTACAGCGGGCCAGAAGGGCAACTTCTCATCGCTCCCCCTGAATTACATTCCAGGTTTCGCCGAGCCACCCCACTCCTTGTACCCCTTCTGGCCAGCCTTAGCATAGCTGGATCAGCAGCCATTGGCATGGCTGCCCTGGTTCAGAGAGAAGCTGGACTAATGTCCCTGTCTCAACAAGTAGATGCTGATTTAAGCAATCTCCAATCAGCCATAAATATGCCGCATTCCCAGGTAGAGTCTCTAGCGGAAGTAGTCCTTCAAAACCGCCGAGGCCTGGATCTGCTATTTCTCTCCCAAAAAGGGTTATGTGCAGCTCTAGGAGAGAGCTGTCGTTTCTATGCCAATCAGTCTGGAGTCATAAAGGATCCTCTCCAAAGATTTTGAAAAAATCTAGACAGACGCCAGCAAGAACAGGAAAATAACACCCCTGGTACCAAAACATGTTTAACTGGAATCCATAGCTGAATCCTCTAATTACTGGATTGGCAGGATCCCTTCTCCTCCTCTTGTTAGGTTTAGTTTTCGGGTCTTGTATATTAAATTGGTTTCTTAACTTTATAAAGCAGCGCATAGCTTCTGTGAAACTTATGTATCTTAGGACCCAATATAACCCCCTTGTTATAACCGAGGAATCAATGATTTGATTCCCCAAAACATGAGTGGGGAATGTGATACTCTACCTTGTTTTAACCTGATTGTCTCTCTTAGCCGAGAGAGCTGGACAGACCCCATTTTTGTTTCTTCACTTGCATCCCCCTTATCCCCCCATCCCTTAAGGACATAACTAGTGCAAGCTGACTCCAAGCTCATCCAGGAATGCGCTTACTGATGAGATATTGAGACAAGCTGAACCAGCAGTTCCTGGGGACGCGCTTGGGGGATGGTACCCAAAGCCTCTGCATTATCTCTTTGTGATAGTTTGAGCCCCTGCACCTGGAACTGTTTACTTTTCTGTAACTGTAAGCAGTTAATCTTTTTAAATTTGTTTGCTTGTTCTGCTTCTGTAAAAATTGCTTCAGCTATACTCCCCCTCCCCTATTTAGACCACGGTATAAAAAGAAATCTAGCCCCTTCTTCGGGACCGAGAGAATTTTGAGCTCTAGCCATGTTTCGGTCGCTGGCAATAAAAGGACTCCTGAATTAGTCTCAGAGTGTGGCGTTTCTCTACAACTCACTTGGTTACAACACTCAAAGTGCTGGAATTACAGGTGTGAGCCACCATGCGCATCCTAAATGGTGATTTTAAATTAATTACTATAGTCCCTTCAAAGTGTTGTCATATAAACCACTTATATTAATATTAAATCAAATGAAGCAAGGACTCTTGACATCTTTGTTAAATTTTAAAAATCTAGCAGTGCCATAGGCTTTTAATTTTTCCATCACAAGGAAAAAGAGGAAACTGGTAATAATCTCCCTCTGACAGAATTATCTCACAAGTTTAGAAACTGTACTTAAAGAATTCAGAAACCCCATCTCTACTAAAAATAACAAAATTAGCCAGGCGTGGTGGCGCATACCTGTAATCCCAGCTACTCAGGAGTCTGACGCAGGAGAATCGCTTGAACCCAGGAGGCAGAGGTTGCGGTGAGCCGAAATTGCACCAATGCACTCCAGCCTGGGCAACAAGAGTGAAACTCCGTCTCAAGAAAAAAAAAAGAAAGAATAAGAAATGTCAACTGTAGCATTTAACACAGCATTGAAGTTATCTGTTGACGCATAGCAAATTACCCTAAACTCAGAAGCTTAAAACAACAAGAATTTAGTATCTCACATACTTTCTGAGGGTCAGGAATACAGGAGCTGCTATAGCTGAGTGCTTGTGACTGAGTCTCTCATGCAGTTGCAGTCAAATAATTGGCAGGGGCTGCAGTCATCTCAAGGTTTGACTGGGGCTGGGAGATGTGCTTCCAAGGGTGACCCACTTGGTTATAGGAAGGCCCCAGCTCCTCCCAGGCTATTGGGTGGAGGGCTTAGTTCCTTGCTACATGGGCCTCTCCATAGGCTGTCTCGGTATCCTCATGACATGGCAACTAACTTCTCTCAAAGTGGGGGCAGCAGCCTTTAAGACAGAAGTCAATGTGCCTTTTATTATTATATTTAATCTCAGCAGTGACATCTATCACTGGTACTATATTCTATTAGTCTCACAGTCCAACCCTGGTACAATGTGGGAGGGAACTACATAAGAGTGTGAATAGTAGGAGGTAGGAATCATTGGGAAACATTTTGGAGGTCAGTTATTGTATCAGTTGCTAGGATAACCAGTTGGAATTAGGATTTTTTAAAAAAGCCATTTTCATAAGACAAGGCAATCTTTTCTAGAGAAGTTCCAATACCTTTGATATGCAGAGCACTGCGTTAGGCGGTATCCAAGGCAGGCCTGTAGTGAATGTTGTTGGTACCCAGCCACTACCCCTGGGCAATCATATGCAGACCGCTGGCTTCTTACTGCAGGCACCTATAGACTCAGCCTAAGACCTTCCCATGAGGCAGGCTGGAAGTGCTGGAGCTTTAACACCTCTGGAGTGGCTCTAAAACAATGGGGAAGAGAGATGGTGTAGACATATGTCAGCTTCATCGGCCTGGGGGTTGTGACAACTTGGAAGTTGTTTCTACACAATCCCCCAGAGTTCCCAAGCTGACAGAGCCCTCATTGATCACAGAGCTAACCGGCTCACCGACGCACTCTATAGTCGTTCCCATCGCTCCCGTCTCACTTCTCCATCCCCTACCTACCAAATAAACTTCTTGCACTCATATTCTTCCCTCAGGTCGGCTTATCGGGCAAGCCTCCTTAGGTAAAAATCTTGCTTTCAACATTTCCTTTCCATTATGCGCTAAGAACTCAGATCTCTTCCCGCTGCGGCAGCCCCGCCCTTTCCTTGCGGCTCCGCCCTTTCCGTGAAGTCACGCCCCCTCCTTAGGCTGTCTCTGTCTCCCTAAAAGAAGAGCGAGTCTCTTCGCTGCTCTGTAACTCCCAGAGCTGGCTCAGAAAAAGTTTCACATTGCCATAGGGGAACTCCTCCTAGGAGAGGCTGCACCCATTGCACGTAAGAAGCGGTAAAAATGTTCGCGGCCATCTTATCAGGCTGCTGGAAACAAAGAAAGCTCAGCATTGATGTCTGGGCGCCCCCATGTTAGTCACAGGAGGTTTTGGCATCTGGGATGCTGAGTTAAGAGCAGAGATGACATCTCTGTTTAGGGATCCAGGGACACTTGCTTCTCCTTGTCCTAAAATAGCCTTATCTTTTGGTCGGGCAAAGAAAGGGCGTAACCATCCGTTGTACGGCACAGCTTTAAACATGGCCGCCCCCGGTAGGAGTCAAGCGGGCGTCGCCATCATACCTCCCATTACAGCTTTGAGAAACCCAGAATCCTGTTCTCTGGAACGTTGCCGGGTGGCCGCTGACAGCCTCAAAGTCGCAATTGAGTCTGCGCACCGGCCATTCAGGATGGGACGACCTTATACCGCGATAAGGCTGTGTGGCAGGACAATCAATTTCAGATTCTGGGCGCAGCATAAATGGGAAGGGTCGGTTTGAGAAACGGTCAAACCTGGGGACTGGTGAAGGATAGTGAGCTGCCGACTACGGTGGCCGACTGGGTCAGTTATGGGTGCCCGTGAGGGTCAACGACAAGGGGACTGAAGGGTTAAGAGATTGGACGTCTGAGCCTCGCGGGGCCTCAGTGGTGGCAGGCAGAGGTTGGCGGGAGTCAATGGCACAGTCTCTGAAGAAGATGGATTGGGAGTGTGTGGGAATCAATAAATGCGAGTTCTGTGAAATGTCTTGATTTTCAGGGTGCATGGGGTCAGTTATAGTGGTCTTCATGGGTCTGGGGTCAATTGGGATTTTTCAGACACTGGTTTAGAGAGCTTTAAGGTTAATGATCTGAGCCCGAGAGGATGAGTGATCGGAGGTTCTAAGTTCTGTGGGCAGTAATAGTTTGGGTACCGGAATTGGTGATTGTGGAAACTTTGGGGTTCAGTTATGAGGGGGGTCAGTGGTGATGAATATTTGGAGAAATGTTTTGGGCCATCGGTGATTGAGACTTACTTCATATCATCGGTGGAGGATCGGAGAGTAATAACGATTGGACTTTTGTAGATCAGGGAATGGAGAATAGAGTCAAGTGTGCTTATCTTAAAGGTACGCCTCAATGAGGCTCAGTTATTCGGACTGTCACTTGTGGGTGGGGGTGGGACTGTGAGAATCAACAATTAATCCTCAGTCGTTGGGATATCATTGGCGAACAGTGTGGGTTCACGATTGGGGGCGGTGTAAATTCACTGGCAATCAGATCGGATCAGTGTGCTTTGTAGTTACTGACCAGTAGTCTCTCCTGGTCAGATTTAAACATACGGGAATATCAGTGACTATGAAAACCTCTGAGGGTTGGAGATTGGAGGCCGGTGACTGGGGACACTATGTGTGTCTGATTAGGAGGCTTATAAGGGTTGGTGTTGAGGGTCCTGAAATGTGGAGATTGGGGATGGGAAAATCACAGATTTGAGGCTGAAAGCCTCAATCTGTGGGAACACATTTCACTCAAATGACACTCCCTAGCTGAATAGCAGCCAGTTCCTCTCCACCAAGGCCCATCTCAAAACTCTTTTCTGAACCCACACCCTTTTTATTGTTCTCCACAATAATGAAAATAATTTGAAAGGATCGCGTGCTAAACTTATCTGAAGTACCATGTTATTAAAGATGTGGCTTCTATTGTTCTTGTTAGTGATCTAATGCATATTTTTTCCTGTTTCCTTTAAGGTTCTTTCTGGTAAAAGTAATGACATACGCATCTGTGACAGCATCCCAAGAGTGAGCCTGGTTTCTGGAAATCCATTCCGACTCTGTGACAGCGGGGATGGATGTGACCTTGCCCGTGGTTAGAAAACAAATTTACTGAGTAAGTATCTAAAATGATAATGTAGGCTGGGTGCAGTGGCTCATGCCTGTAATCCCAGCACTGTGGGAGGCCAAGGTGGGTGGATCATTTGAAGTCAGGAGTTACCAGCCTGGTCAACATGGTGAAACCCTGCCTCTACTAAAAACACAAAAATTAGCTGGGCGTGGTGGCGGGCGCCTGAGGTCCCAGCTACTCTGGAGGCTGAGGCAGGAGAATCATTTGAACCCTGGAGGTGGAGATTGCAGTGAACCGAGATTGTACCACTGCACTCCAGCCTGGATGACAGAATGAGACTCTGTCTCAAAATAAATAAATAAATACAAATAAACAAAATAAAATAAAATGATAATGTAAAAGATTTGGCTGAAAGAGCAAACTGAGAGTGTTTAGAAAATACTTTCATCTAGGCTCAGCTTAAAAATAAATTATCAAAGGAAGAGAAACTAGATTTGGAATTTATTGTATTCTGAGAGTCTTTTTGCCTTGTCCTATATATTTTACGCATAGCCACATTTAACCTTCACTAATCAGTTCCTTATAAAGTCCTGGCAGAAAAAATTCGAGACAGATAAAGCCACAACAACCACAAAACAAAATTTAAAGCTACTTTTAGAAACTGTTCATCACTGAAACTGAAATTGAATAGTTATTAAAATGGCTGAGATGGGATTGCAAATAAAATGGAAATAAGATTTAAAATAATAGATGTAGGGGATATAAGTGCAGTTTTGTTACATGGATATATTTCTTTTTTTTTTTTTTTTTTTTTTTGAGGCGGAGTCTGGCTCTCTTGCCTAGGCTAGAGTGCAGTGGCCGGATCTCAGCTCACTGCAAGCTCCACCTCCTGGGTTCACGCCATTCTCCTGCCTCAGCCTCCCGAGTACCTGGGACTACAGGCGCCCGCCACCTCGCCCAGCTAGTTTTTTGTATTTTTTAGTAGAGACGGGGTTTCACTGTGTTAGCCAAGATGGTCTCGATCTCCTGACCTCGTGATCCACCCGTCTCGGCCTCCCAAAGTGCTGGGATTACATGGATATATTTCATAGTGGGGAAGCCTGGGCTTTTAGTGTAACTATCACTTGAATAATGTACATTGAACCTATCTGGTAATTTCTCATTCCCTACCTGCTTCCTAGCCTCCCTCCATTCAGAGTCACTCATGTCTATTATTCTGCTTTCTATGTCCATATGTACACATGATTTTTTTTTTTTGAGATGGAGTCTCGCTCTGTCGCCCAGGCTGGAGTGCAGTGGCCGGATCTCAGCTCACTGCAAGCTCCGCCTCCCGGGTTTACGCCATTCTCCTGCCTCAACCTCCCAAGTAGCTGGGACTACAGGCGCCCGCCACCTCCCCGGCTAGTTTTTTGTATTTTTTAGTAGAGACGGGGTTTCACCGTGTTAGCCAGGATGGTCTCGATCTCCTGACCTCGTGATCCACCCGTCTCGGCCTCCCAAAGTGCTGGGATTACAGGCTTGAGCCACTGCGCCCGGCCCATATGTACACATTATTATCTTATAAGTGAGAACATGCAGTATTTGACTTTCAGTTTCTGAGTCAGAAAATAAGATTTTGACCATTACTCTAATGAAAAGGTACAATGCCAAAACAATATTTTAACTTTAAAAAATTATTACATTTGATCTTTATGTAACCTTCAGAAAAAGCACAATGCCTGTAGCATCTTAAGAAATAAAGGCAGCTGGATGCTAAGGCAGGTAACATCTTTCAGAACCCACATAGGTCATGTTTTAGTTTTAAAAGCAGATAGTCCCTATTTTTCATTTGCACAGAATCAAACACAGATAGCTGCTTAGCATGGGTGAAGTAATAAGCCAGGGAAAGGAGTTTGGGTATTTTTTCCTCCACGTTGATTCCCTTCACTACCCATACTGTGCTCAGTGCCAGGTTTCAGAGCAAATAATTAAAAAAAAAAAGTTTTACATAAACCTTTTATTGTGATATAAGATATATGCAAAAATGTATATAAATATGCAGCTCAATGAATTGTCACAAGGGAATACCCCTGGGTATTGCACTCAGATCAGAAAACAACATTCTAGCACCATGCCCTCATGATGCCCCTCCCAGTTACTACTCTGCCAGAGGGAACCATTCTCCTAGCTTCTAACCTTACAGATTAGTTTTGTCTGTTTTTGATCCCTAATGTAATGGGATATTCATTGAGGGGAGGAGCACCATGGGGAGAGGCAAGATGTGGCTGTGTTTGAACAAAATTTCTTTCTTTTTTTTTTTTTTTTTGGAGACGGAGTTTCACTCTTGTTGCCCAGGCTGGAGCGCAATGGGGTGATCTCGGCTCACCACAACCTCCACCTCCCGGGTTCAAGCGGTTCTCCTGCCTCAGCCTCTCAAGTAGCTGGAATTACAGGCACGCACCACCATGCCCAGCTAATTTGTATTTTTAGTAGAGGTGTATTTTTAATGTATTTTTAATATTGTTTTTGTATTTTTTAGTAGTGAGCCACTGTGCCCAGCCTGTGTTTGAACAAAATTTCTAAGTTTGAATGGAGATAATTTCATTTATATAACAGACATTTCTCCAGGTCATTAAATATTCCCTTTTTGGCCAGGCACAGTGGCTTACGTCCGTAATCTCAGTGCTTTGGTAGGCTGAGGTAGGACGATTGTTTGAGGCCAGAAGCTTGAGACCAGCCTGCGCAACATAGCGAAACTCCATCATTACACAAAATTTAAAAATTAGCTGGGTAGTCTGGGCATGTTGGCTCACGCCTGTAATCCCAGCACTTTGGGAGGCCAAGGCGAGTGGATCACCTCAGGTCAGGAGTTCAAGACCAGCCTGACCAACATGGTGAAACTCCGTCTCTACTAAAAATACAAAAAAAAAAAAAAAAAAATTAGCTGGGCTTGGTGGTGGGTACCTGTAATCCCAGCTACTTGGGAGGCTGAGGCAGGAGAATTAGTTAAACCCAGGAGGCAGAGTTTATAGTGAACCGAGATTGCACCACTGCACTCCAGCCTGGGCAAGAAGAGTGAAACTCTGTCTCAAAAAAAAAAAAAAATTAGCTGGGTGTGGTGGCTCACACCTGTGATCCTAGCTACTGGAGAGGCTGAGGTGAAAGAATTCCTTGAGCTCAGGAGTTCAAGGTTGCAGTGAGCTATGATCGTGCCACTGCACCCTAGCCTGGGTGACAGAGTGAGACCCTGTTTCAAAAAAAAAGAATTCTTTAAAAAAATTGAGGCATAATACACATGTAGTCAAGTGGGCTTATCTTTAAGGTACAACTCAATGAATTTTTATATTACAGAATCCTGTAACCACAGCCTAGATCAAGATATTCATCGCTTCTAACACCTTGAAGGTGTCCTTACTGGTCAATACCTACTGCCACCCCAGGGGTAACTAGGGTTTAATATAGTGGATTACTTTTGCCTGCTTTTGAATTTGAACTGAATTTCATATATCCCCTATGAGTCCACTTGATTGACTCATATTCATTGAATTTGACAGGATTCCATTTGAATCATATACATGTGAAGCCAAGGCATTCATACCATGAGGAAATTTTGTTTGAAATTCTGAAACCACACAAACACCAGGACAAAATTCTAAACTGAAGGCTGGGTGTGGTGGCTCATGCCTGTAATCCCAGCACTTTGGGAGGCTGAAGCGGGTGGATCAGGAGCTCGAGACCAGCCTGGCCAACAGAGTGAAACCCCATCTCTACTAAAAATACAAAAATTAGCCTGGTATGGTGACGAGAGCCTGTAGTCCCAGCTACTCAGGAGGCTGAGGCAGGATAATCATTTGTACTTGGGATGTGGAGGTTGCTGAAAACACAGTCGACTATCCAGTAACAGATATGAAAAGAAAATTGGAGTACCTATGTGAAAGCATAAAACATTACATTTTGAGATATATAGAAAGTCTTGAGTAAATATTGAAGCCTTGTTCTTGGATTGGAAGGCTCAACAATTTTCAGAATTGTCAGTATTTTCTTACATGAATGGACAAATTCAGTGAAATGTTAAGCAAAATCTTAAGAAGGGATCTCTTTGCCCCAAATTATAACAGAATAATTCTACAGTTTATGTTGAAGATGAAACATTTGAGAATATCTAGGACATTTATGAAAAATAAGTAATAAGAGGTAATGTGCTAAACAAAGCTTTCAAACATACAGCTTCAGGAGACAGAGGCTACAACCTAAGAGGAAGAATAAGTTGAGGGAGAAGATACTGAGTTCGCTTTTGTGAAACCACAATGGGTGGCAATGAGAGACCTATGATCTAGTTTAAAAAAATTTTTTTTTTTTAGAGACAAAAGTTTCCCACTTTTTCTCCAGGCTGGAGTACAATGGCGCGATCTTGGCTCACTGCAACCTCTGCCTCCCGCGTTCAGGTGATTCTCTTGCCTCAGCCTCCCGAGTAGCTGGGACTAGAGGCATATGCCACCACGCCCGGCTAATTTTTACATTTTTAGTAGAGATGGGTTTTCACCACGTTGGTCAGGCTGGTCTTAAACTCCTGACCTCAGGTGATCCACCCACCCCGGCCTCTCAAGTGCTGGGATTACAGGCGTGAGCCACTGTGCCTGGCCTATGATCTAGTTTTAAGTTTGTGACTGAGAGCATCTAGATGATGGTATCTATATGGCAAAATATGACTTTTGAGTTCAAATGTTAGGGACTGATGATAAGGGTGTGTAAGTCACAATCATGTCACAATGCTGAGATAGTGCCCATCAGATGGCTGCCATGCTGTTAGAAGAGTGACTGACTGCAGGGCAATACTGCTTTCCAAGATTGACTCTTTTTTTTTTTCTTTAATTTGGATTCTTGCTCTGTCACCCACACTGGAGTACAGTGGTGCGATCTCAGCTCACTGTAACCTCTCCTTCCCAGGTCCAAGCAATTCTCCTTCCTCAGCCTCCTGTGTAGCTGGGACTACAGGTGTGTACCACCATACCCAGCTAATTTTTGTATTTTTAGTAGAGATGGGGTTTTACCATGTTGGCCAGGTT